TTGACAGCATCTGTCACACACTCATATGATACAAGTCACACAGGTAGCACTCATTGGTTAAGAGAATTTACCATGACAAAAAGTTAACTCTGAATTCCCAAATGGTATTGAAATAAACGTGTATTTAATTCCATCACCATCTGCACACATTTGAAAACCAGAGGCACTGATGTGTTTGTGAGTATTATCAGCTCATGCCGATTCTCAGGGCCCTTGCAATGACCCCAGGACCCCATGGAGGGTCTCAAGACCCCACGATTCAACGTATCAACTGCTAGCGCTCTTTCAGTTGTAGAAGGAGCCAGCTGCCCCCTAGGCCAGAGCTGTTAGAGCTGGGGAGTGGGGACCCCATCCCGATGGGTTGATGGCTCTGGAAAACTACCTTAGTCATTTGAAGTTAAAGTCACATTTTGGTATTATCAAAGTCTGAATTACATGGGTACCCAATGCAATTAACGCTAGATTAAGGAGGAGAAAAAGTGCTCAATATGTATTTACTTTTGCCCTCATTGGTACAAAATTGTTGCCCACTGGATCCAACAGAGCCAGCCTCTGCGAAGGCCACGGCCACCATCCTTGTCCACCACTGCCACCATGCAGGACTTTTCGTGTGGCTGTGTGGACGCCCCATGAGTCCTGCCACAGTGCTGTCTCTGAACTGCTGTGAAAACCTGAGTTTTCAGCATGCAGGACTTCCTCTTGTCTCTGCTGGTCTCAGACCCAGCCGACAACCCGCAGGGAGAAGGGGTAGGGCTGCTGGGAAGGGCTACGCGCCAGGAGGCTTGTGCAGTGAGTACATGAGCCCCACAGACACCTCGCTTCGGTTTGCAGCAGGGCAGGGGGAGGCAGCTTGTCCTTTCTCTATAACTTAAATTAGCTCTCAAGACCCTGTTTCTGCTGGTGGCAGGATGTATTAATCTTGCCAAGTCAAGGTAAATTCCAGCTATTTACCGTTTAAGACACACTCACTTTGAAGTAACTCTTCAGATAATTTGGGATTCTCAGATCAATTCCAGGTTTAAGCCTGAGGCGATACCAGGAGCCTCTGCTTCCTGTCTGCCCACTCTGGTCACCCCCTTTCCTGGCATTGCTGATGTCCCTCAACAAAGCCACCGCTGTTCTGATCAGTCTGGCTTCCAACCCACCCCACAGCCTATGCCCACAGGGCCCCTCACCTCAGGGACCTGGTGGCTGGCATTGTGAAAACCTCCCTCCAGGCACCCAGAAATACTCACTCCTCACCCACACCCCGTTGGGCTGGGGAGGGGACATCTCGGGCCCCATTCAGGGCTGGGTGCATGTTTCACCTTCTTTCTTGCCCTCCCCTGCATTGTGTTTCATCTGAAAAGGCCATTCCTTCATCTGGCTTTGTGGACCAAACATGAGAGCCCGGGGGGCCCCAGAGTTAGACTGGATCCACTTGGGTTACACACGCATGACCTGGATCCATCCTTCATCCAACAAAATTCAATTTGAAAACTGCTTAAGTTCTCTTCTCTCTAATAAGTCTTTTCTTCTGCTTGTCATGTCCAAAAAGAACACTGTCCCTGATGCCTATTTTGTCTGCTAAAGAATCTTTTTCTCCTACTTCCCAATTCTCTATCCATGTGCTGGAAAACTAAAGGGAATTTCTCTTATGATGGCTAATCAAATGCAGAAACAGGAGAGAAATCTTGAACCCAAAGGGAGCAAGGTTGAATATGCAATTGAATAAGATGGAAGAGACTATGTAAGCAAATGAAGGGACAAAAGAAAAACAAAAAAGGCTACTGTAACAAATTTACCAAAAACTGGAGGGTTTAACACAACGGAAATTTATTCTCTCAGAGTTCTGGAGGCCGGAAGTCTGAGATCAAGGTATGGGCAGGGCTGCGTTCCCTCCGCAGCCTCTCAGGAGGATCCTTCCTTGACTCTTGTAGCTTCTGGCAGCTACTGGCACTCCTCGGCATTCCTCGGCTTGTGGTCACATCACTCTAACCTCTGCCTCCATCTTCCCCTGGCTTCTCCTGCGTGCACCTGCCTTATCTCCCTCTGCTGCTCTTATAAAGATGCTTGTGATGGCACTTAGGGCCTAACTTGATCATCCAGGCTGATCTCCTCATCGCAAGCTCCTTAATCACATCTGCAAAGTCCTTTTTCCAAACAAGTTCACATTCGCAGGTTCCGGTGTTTAGGACGTGGACACATCTGTGGGGGACCACTTTTCAACCTACCATACTATCCTCACGCTCCCGGTTGGAATGTACAGCAGAGAGAGAGAAAAGGAAAAAAATCTAATGAAATACTAACTTCACCACCCAACAGTTCAGTGGAGAGAGAAGCACGGTTAGAAAAGAGCTAGTGTTTCCGTTTCTGGTGCCGTCTGCGGCACAGGAGAGATCCCACCTTCAATCTTCATGTCAACATGTGTTATTTCTTCCTTGAGAGAAACAAAAACAAATAATCCAGTATTGCTGAGCAGAACAGCTCGCAAGTGGAAGAGCCGGGGCTGGCTGTGTGCCCCTGGCTCGTGGTGATGCCATCTGCCCAGCCAGCCCCTCCCCTGCCTCCCACCAGCTCATTTTGGCTCCTTTGGGCCAAAGGGCTCCCAAGCCAGCCACAGCTGGAGTGCAACTGTCAGTGCCCCCATTTAAAACCCATTTGTGAAAGGCTCATAAATCACAGCCTTGGAAAACTCACTCCTCATTATAACTCAGCAAAGAACAGCTCTCGTTCAGCAATGGAAATGGATGTGAGTGTGTAGTAGGTTGTTTGTTCTTTGCAGCAGGGGGTCATATGTAAGGGGATTTTGCATCATGTTCTTTCAGCTGTTCGTGTTATAATGATAATGTTCGTGAATAATGATAGGCATTTCTCCAAATGTACCCATCTCCATTGTTAGATCAAGCAAGTGGCGGCTGAACACTTAGTGTGATTTCAGGGGAGCCAAAAAGGCTCCGAATGCCAATATCCCTCCCCTCTGAGCCTGCAAAACAACTAGGTCAACGTCCCAAATACTACAGTTAGAGTTTCCTTCCTTTGGACTTGCCCCTGGTCAAAACTCTAATATTGCTGGAAGGGGTCACACTTTAAGCACGGTTTTATTTATATATTTGTCCCAGTATTTTCTCAGAGCAAGTGGTATGGTGGGAGTGCAGGATAATCCACTGGATGGGATAGGGAGCCACCACTGAGACTGAAGAGTCATCAAAGGCAAGGCTGAGTCGGGCTATGCTGGAGGAAGGTCCCCGGTGATCCTAGTTTACTGGCGAACTAAATATATGAAATGCCTTTGCTGTGCCCAGAGATATGCCTTCCACATAGATCATCTCATTTAATCCTCACATCAACCCATGAGGCAGGCACCAAAGCTGCTCCATTTAGGAGCAGGATGAGATCTAAGAGGCAGTACCTAAGCCCATTTGTTCCCATCCCAACAAGTCGCCAAAGTGTATACATCCATATAAAGTTGAGTGTCACAAAGTAACTGTCTCCAGACCATGGGAAAATAAGTGCTTCGGGGCTAGCTTGCTCCACAACCAGATCTCAGACAGGACACATTCCTGGAGGTGGAAGAGGTCTCCAGGGATGCCACAAAACAGACAGACAGACAGACACAGACAAAGAAAAGCTGAGTCTGAGAAAGGATAGAGAGGAAAGGAGGCAGATGGGGGCACAAGATTTCTGTGACCAGAAGCTGAGTGGAAATCACCAAGGACTAGAGCAGGAATGCCCAGGAGGAGGCTGAAGGGCAGGGAGACAGGGCCGAGTAACCAGGAACCGGAGTGGCAGGGACTGGCCTGAACATATGGCAACAGGGAGGCGGTGCGGCTGCTCCGACCTAGGGTCTCAAAGGGGGACCCGAACCTGAGATTCTTACTCTAGAAAAAAGTCTTTAAAGGATTCTGAGGTGATCTGGTATGGAAGAGATGGGTCTTCCCACCTACTGGCAAAAGCACACATAGACCCCCTTTGAGGGAAAGTCCCCCACGTTAGTTTGCAGGGAATGCCACAAATTAAAATTAAGCATGACCTCACAAACAAAAATCAACAAATATTTGGGAAGGCAAGTCACCCAAGGACCATAGACGTTTCTATTGTAGCCACGGCATGCAGAATTATGAAGTATAGAATATCTAGCGAAGAAAGGACACACATATAATGTAGGAATAAACAACAGGACACCATTGGGCATGAATTGGTAGACTTGGGGAAAAAACAAACAGAACTTCTAAAAATTAATAAGGTAATTGTTGAAGAAAAAAACCTAATGGATAAGTTAAACAGTAGATTATACTTGAGAGTATTAAAGAGTGTTCAAGAGAGAATTAATGAACTGGAAGATATATCTGAAGAGCTTATCCAGACGACAGCAGAGAAAAAGAGATAAAAATATGAAAAAGTATAAAAGATACGGAGAAAAGAATGAAAGGTCTAGCACAGAGGTTGGCAAACTATAGCCTGAGTTCCAAATCCAGCTGGCCACCTGTTTTTTTAAATAAAGTTTTATTGGAACATTACCATGCTCATTTGTTTATGTATTGCCAAGGGCTTCCTTCAAACTACAATAGAGTTGAGTAATTGTGACAGAGACGCTATGGCCTCCAAAGTCTAATATATTTTCTCTCTGTTCTTTCATAGAAAAAAAATTGCCCTGGTTTAGTGTATATATGACTCGGAACCCAGAAGGAAAATATGGAGAGAAAGGAAGAGAGGTGGCATTTTTAAAAATAATGACTAAATTTTCCAGAACTATTTAAAATACAAAGCCACATATCCAGAGAATACAAGATATTCTTAGCAGAATAGAGAAGAGTTATGCTTGCTGGATGGACTAGATTGTGGCCCTCAAAAAGATATGACCAAGTCTTCATCCCCAGTACCTGTGAACATGACGTTATTTGGAAATAGGGTCTTTTCAAAGGTAATCAAATTAAGGATCTTGAGTGAGATCATCCTGGATTTAAGGTAGGCCCTAAATTCAGAAAAACAGAAAAGGGAAGAAGATCAGTGATGCAGAGACACAGGGAAGAAGGCCACATGAAGACAGAGGCAGAGATTGGAGCGATGCTGCCACAAGCTAAGGAATGTCTGGAGCCATCAGAAGCTGGAAGAGGCCAGGAGAATCCTTCTCTAGAGTCTTTGGAGGGAGTGCAGCCCTGCTGACACCTTAATTTGGGACTTCTGGCCTCCAGAACTGTGAGAGAATAAATTTAGGTTGTTTCAAGCCACCAAGTTTGTGGTGTTTGTTATGACAGCCCAAGGCCACTAACATAGATTTTGTTTAGTGTGGTAGAACAAAGATGATTCCAAGTCTTTTGTCATTCCGCATCACAATAAGGGCTGTTATTTATCTCCCCTCCTCTTGAATCTGGGTTGGCCCATGACTGTTTTAACCAAGGGAATGTGACAGAAGTGATGCATGCTGCTGTTCCAGTTCTAGGCCTAAGACTTCAGAAGCCCTCGCAGATTCTGCTTTTACACTTCTAGGGGGTTGAGCTGCCCCATGAGAAGTGCAGGCACCCTGATGAAGAGAGTCCATGAAGAAGCCATATGAGAGAGAACAGGACCCTGGGACTCCATGGAGAAAGACAGAACGGCTGGGCCATCCAGCCTTCCAGTGAGCCCAGTCTTCTAGATGTCTCTGCCGTGCAACACTTTGGAACTGGCTTCCAGCTTTGCCTCCCAATTGTCCCTTTCCAGGGCCTGGCTTTCAGGACTAGAGCCCCCGGGGCCTTCTAAATTCCAGGGTACTCCCCCAGAGGAAGCTCAGGTGCAACCAGTCCTGCCCCGGGGATCTTATCTTATGGGGGTGAACCTTCTTGGATGTCCCAGTCCGGTCGAGTCCACAGATGATTGCAGCTCCAGGCAACAGCATTTGCAGCAGAAAAACCACCCAGCAGACCCCAGTCAACTCCCAGAATCATGATCAGACGAAGTATCGACAAACTTGAGAAAGAATGTAGGCACTGCAGGCAAAACCAGGTGGAGATGAAAGGTTGGTCCTTGGTTCCTGTTCTTAGTAGATGAGCTGGTAATAATAAGTTCTCTAGACAGGTATGAGTAGGAGATGGACAGAGCATCCAGACAAAAGTTAACTTAGGTCTTAGGATCAATATGACTCTAATTTTGTTAACCATACATAAGGAGTGCTGCCGCTGCTTCTTATTAGTAATTAACACCTCTTTTACACCTATGTAAATAAAACTACTAGTCAAATAAAACAAAACATCAAATTAATAAATATTGAATTTTATAAAATCATAAAAACAAACTCCTGTGGTTAAATATGTACCTTAGGGCCAGAAACTTGACTGGTGGATGGAACTGTAAAGGTGAAATGGCATCTCATTTATCAGCAATCATGCACATCTCATCCCATAGAGAGAAAGAAAAAACACATCACACCTGAGACAAAAGAACTAAAACAGGATCAAGTCTTTCCCGTAAGTTCCTAACTCTGTAGCCAAAACAACTTTATCCCAGACTTTCGCAATGCTGCTGTCTGGAGATCTGTCAGGACCTCCTGGATATGATAATCATGTGATAAATTTGCTGTTTTCCTGCCATGTGCAGACTAGCTGTAATCTCAGTAGCCTTGGTAATATTATGGATTTTTTTTTCCTTTAAATACCTGTTGTACTTTCATTTGATGATCCAAGTCTTTCTAACCCCTGGAAGTTCTTGCAGATCTTTTTCAAGTAAGCTTGGTTTCTAAATGCTTTTGTCTTAAAATCTTCCATTTACAGAAGCCCTGAACCCAGGGAACCCAGGCAGAATGGAAGATGGCAGCAGGATACTGGGTGGAAAATAGAGAATTAAGTGAACATCCATATGCTGAACAGCCATGTTCTGCCACTTAGCTCCAAGAACACTGGAAATGAACTGTCTTTCCCCCAGTGGAGAAATTGGAGGATTTGTCCTGGAGAAACTAAATGACCCCAGTAGAAAGACTTACAGATACTAATAGTTGGGGCTCCCAATGGAAAAAACAGATAGCCTTTCAATCAACTCTCACTGAAGACCCACATGTCCCACCAAATTCCACAGAGTTTCCAGTCAGATTCCTCCTCTGACATGTGGACAGACCAGGTCTTTCCCTTTTGTTCATTTCTTCTCTTTTTTTATTCTGTTTTATCACATTAGACACCATCCTCTAACATCATGTTAGAGACCTTCTTTCTAGCATTCTAACATGAGATGACCTCTAGCATGATAGGCAGAAAACAAACAGAAAAAAAAGAGGCAAATGTGGGTGGCTGGAAAAAACTTCAAAAATTATGAGCATAATTCTCAAAGGAAATATAATGTATCCATGAAACAAGAATAGGATGATAGGAAAAAGGGCACAGTCAGAGAGCAAGAGTAAGGTCTTGGAAAGTAATAATGCATTAGCTAAAATGAAAATTTCAATAGCCCAGTTAGAAGATGGAGTTGAAAATATATCCAGGAAGTAGAAAAAAATGACAAAGAGATAAATAAGATGAGAAAGAATAAAAGAAAATCATAAAATCAATTCAGAAGTCAACATCCAACAACAGGAGTTCTATAGAAGACAGATAATTCAGAGAAGAAGAAATTATGAATGAAAGAATACCCAAACAACTGTCACCACCACAGAGCATGATCTTCCAGACTGAACAGGCCAGAGAGTACCCAGCATGATGAATGGGAGGAAAAGCCCTCACCAAAGACTTAAAAAATTTATTAAACTTTCAGAGAGGAAAAAATAGTTCACGTTTTTAGAAATTCAAACGACATCAACTACTCAACAGTAACATTAGAAACTGGAAGGCAGTAAAACAATGCATTCAAAATTCTGAAGAAAAATTTCCAATCTAGAATTCTATAACTAGTCAAAGTAGCAATTCAAGAATAAGGGTAGAATGAAGACACAGAAGTCAAAAATCTAAAAAATTTGACTTCCCTTGCATCCTTTCTCAGGAAGCTAATTGAGGATGTGCTCCACCAAATGAAAAACAGACCAAGTAAGATAAAGGGATGAGAGAGAGAGAGAACTGACACTTGGGAGCCCCAGTGGGGTCTCATGAGGAACAGGGCATTTATATAGCCTCAAAGTACCTCCCCCCCAAAATACCTATTAATTACAAAAAGGAATAGGATTAATTTACAGTGGAGAAGTCTGATAGATATCACCTTAATCAAATGATCAAATGTAACATCAATAGCAATGGGGCAATGAAAGTCATGCACCATTTTGCAGGATGCAATGAAAACACGGCACTAATGGCAGCGAAGCACTATCTGGAGCTAATCATGAGGAAGATCAGACAGAAAGGCAGAGGAACCGTTTCAGATGAAAGGAAACTAATGAGACATGACAATTACATGGAACACGTGATCCTGGATTGGATCCTGGATCTGAGGGGAAAAAGTTATAAAGAACATTATTGGGAAAATTGATGAAATGTGAATATAAACTCTGGATTAAACAATAGTAGTGTTACCACAGTAAATTTCTTAATTTTAATAATTGTTATGAGGTTATGTATGAGAATATTCTTGTTCTAGGAAAATACACACTAAAGTATTGGGGGGTTGAAGCAGCATGATGACTCCAATTTGTTTTCAAATGATTCAGAGAGAGAGAATGAATAATCAATGGGAGGAAATGTAAACAACTGGTGAATCTGGGTAAGGGGTATAAGAGAGTTCCTCATTCTATTCTTGCAACACTTCTGTAAGTTTGAAATTATATAAAAATTAGAAATTACAAAAAGTTTCATTCATTTCATTGAGTTCAGTTCCATAGAAGTTTGCATTTTGTAGTTTAAAATGTGGTTTTACCAAAGGAATAAATGAAAGGCAATATAAGAGAGGGCTTTAGGTTAAACAGCATCTACCCAGAGGTAGGCTGCAGGATAACTACTTCCCTGAGCCTCACTTTCCTCATCTATAAAATAGAGTAGTAATAATACCTATACTATAGGATTTGAGGATTATATCAGGTAAAATGTGTACCGTCCATACCACCTTCTCGAAAAGCTCACTTTGAGAAACACACCCTGATGGACATAACTCCTCCGCTGCTCTGGTAGCTCAGACCTCAGCACAGAAAGGTCATACTATGTGGCTTATTCATGCAGTTTTCCCTTTTGTATGCCTGATAGCAAGATTTTCTTAAGGATCCTATACAGGAAGAAGGTGACAAGAGCCCCACGTAGCTCTGATATGTCCCACTATTTCCCAAGTCCTTTCTCACTATTTATTTCTTTACATTGCAGAAGCATCCCTGCCCTGAGCAGCCACAGACACAGAGAATAAAGGCGATCTTACAGGTGTGTCTCTCTCTAAACACAGTAAAAAGGAGGGGGGAAAAGAGGCACATCCCTCAATCAGTGGGTCTCCGAAAGCAATGCACCCGAGAGGTTCCCCTGGCAGTGTGGAGACATGAGACTAGAACAAAAGAAATGCCATATTTGACTTCTATTTCTAGTTTTGAAGAAATGTCAGAGCAAACTCTGTGCTAGGAGCAACTATAAAAGCTGGATAAAATATGAAAGACAGCTGCTGAATGCATCAGAGAACAACTGAGACACCCAGGACGCAATCCTGGAGAGATCCTGGAGTGGAGAGAAGTGCGTTGAGCTGGACCCCAGACTGGCCACTACTTTTTCCCTTGGAACATTTGCCAGTTTGAAGCACAGGCAACAGAGGATGAATGAAAAGCAGCAACCTGAAGTTTGCATCAGTCTCATTAAACTGGGAAGAAGAAAAAATGAGTTTAGGATTGCCAAGGTAGTTAGTACTTGAGGGGTAAAAATCCCAGGGGAAAAAAAAAAAAAAAGATGACCTGCAGAGATACGAGCTTGACATTCTGTGTGGGTTTTGCTTGAGGTCTTTGCTGCACAGAGCTGAAAAACAAATCATAAAATTGCAATAAAGAGGTCAAAAATTGAAGCAGAACTTTCAAGAGTCTTGTTGTGGGTTGAACAGTGGAACCCCCAAATTTGTGTCTGCCCAGAACCTCAGCAAGTGATCTTCTTTGGACATGTAATTAATTAAGTATCTTGAGATGAAATTATCCTGATTAAGAGTGTGTCCTAAATCCAGTGACTGGTGTCCTTGTAAGAAGAGATGAGGACACAGAGACACACAGGGGAAGGTCATGTGACCATGGAGGCAGAGACTGGAGTGATGCAGCCACAAGCCAAGGAATGTCCTGGGTCACTGGAAGATGGAAGACGCAAGGAAGAATTCTTCTCTAAAGCCTTCAGAGGGAGCATGGCCCTGATGACACCTTGAGTGCTGGCCTCCAAAACTGAGAAAATAAATTTCTGTTGTTTTTAGCCACCAAGTTTGTGGTAATTTGTTATGGCAATCCCGGAAAACTAACATAAGTCTTGCAGTGGTGAAGATGCCAAAATTAGAATCCAGGGCCTGCCAGAGAGGAAGAGCTCAGGTAAATATCCCAGGCTTTCAAATGAGACCCCAGAAGGACTATGCCTAAGAGAAAAGGAAAGTCAAATTTGGTCTGAATGCCAGACTAAATCTTCTCAAGGATGAAAAATACAGAAAAGTGGATAAGATACATGTGAAATACAGTGTAAAGATCCAACATAAGTGTAATTGGAGTGGAGAAGAGATGATGGAGAGGACAGGGAGAAGCAATAACTGAAGACAGACAGACTGAGAATTTTCCAAAACCGACAGAAGACATCAAACCACAGACTCTATCAACTCTATCAACTCCAAGCAGGATAAATATAAAGAAAATTATTTCTAGGTAAATCATAAAACTGATGGAAACCAAAGACAAAAAAAAAAAATCTTAACCACACGTTACATTCAAAGGAACAACAATTAGACTGACATCTGACTTTTCAACAGGAACAACAGAAGACAACGAAATACGAAGGAACCTGCTTAAGGAGGGGAAAAGGGGAATCTATGGAAAACCTGCAGCAAACACTATATTTAGTGGTGAAATATGGAAAGCTTTCTCTTTGAGACCAGGAATGGAGAAAGGATGTCTGTTCTAACCACTTCTCTTCAAAATGGCATTGACATAAATGAAATAAAATTGCAATTATTTACAGACAACATAGCACGTTCTTTGGGCAGCTCGGTGGAAGTGCCCTGTCCCCCCCGCAATGCAGGTAGCAGGGCGTCCTGGCACAGAGGCTATAATTCTTTGGGGGTTGCCCATAGTCCGTGGGAAGGAGCGATGTCTGGCTTGACGCAGCTGCCTCTTACTGCGATAGGGTGCATCCTTCTGGCGGCCGCAGGAGGGAGAACCCTGAGCAGGTGGGCTGCACGCAGGCGCACTGAGTCACGGGGTGGGGCCTTAGGAGACCCGCGAGGGTCTGGTCTCGCCCTGAAGTCATCCTCTTGCCCGAGGGAAAGTAACCTTAATTGGCAAAACCCACGATGACAGGTTGAGAGAGAGACCACAGGAGAAAGGAGAAAGGAGAAATTTGTCTATTTCAATACCTTCAATGTCACTTTTTTCCTGCCTTTTGAACAAGAGGCCTCACATTTTTATTTTTCACTGGGCCCTGAAAATTAGGGAGATGGCCCTGCTTCCCTTTATACCTCAAGGCACAGCTTAGACCAGATAAGATCTCCGTGATAACGAGGGTGGGGTGAAGGAGGAGGCAGGGGCTTTGTCCCCGGCTTTGTCTATAACGCACTCCCGAAATTGTGCACTGGGGTCAAACGTGAGAAGTCGGAACAATAGATGTACCCTTGGAGAACTGAAAATTCTTCTAAGATCTGAATTTTCACTTTCTCCCTTAGGTACGCCTTTTAATTTGTAAGTAGTTCGATATGGTTTTCTAAAAGATAGGAACTCTTTTTAAAATATATAACTACAATATCACTATCATACCTTAAAAATTGACACCGATGCTTTGATGGCATCAAACATCCGGTCTCCACATTTCCTTGATTTTCTCATACATCTTTTACAGGTAATTTGCCTGAATTAAAATGCAAACAAATTCTCCACTTTGCACGAGATTAATGTGTCTCAGCATCTTTCATCCCCAGGTTCCCTCCCTGCCCCCCCCCCACCCGCCTTTTTCACCTTGCTATTTATTTGCCAAAGAAACTGATCAGTCTTTCCTATAGTTTCCCATATTCTAGATTTGCTGGTAGCAGTCCCTGATTTCTTTAACATATTTCTCTGTTCCTGTATTTCCTGAAAACTGGTAGTTAGAATGTCTAGTTAAGGACTGAATCAGATTCAGAGTTGATGTTTTTGGCAAGACTATTTTATAAGGAGTATATACACTCCACCAAGAGGCATGTAAGATCTCTGAATTATCCTGGACATTTTTCTCTCTCTCTCTCTCCCCCTGCCCCTGAGGTTAGCAGCCATTGATGATCAAGCGATCATTGATAAAATCCATAGTTTCATCAGAAGTTTACAAAATGGAGTATCTTAATTCTATCCTCTCTCCTTTTATAATAGAATACTTCTGTAAAGATAAAATTTCCCTGGTTAACTATTTGCTTACCCTTGGATGTAATTCTAATGTTGTATTTCCAGCATTTCATACCTGCTTCTACTATTATTCTTTTCCTTCACTACTGAATCCACAGTTGGGCAGTTTAACTTCCTGGGGTGTCTGGTTGAGTCTAAAGACCCAAACGTGGGTCGGTCCCATGGCATAGTAGTTAAGTTAGGCGTGCTCCCCTTCAGCAGCCCCGGTTCCCAGGTTTAGATCCTGGGCATGGACCTACACCACTCATCAGCCATGCTGAGGCGGTAACCCACACACAAAATAGAGAAAGACTGGCATAGATGTTAGCTCAACGACAATCTTCCTCCAGCAAAGAAAAAAAAAAGAGAGAGAGAGAGGAAGATTGGCAACAGATGTTAGCTTAGGGTGAATCTTCTTCACCAAAAAAGAAAAAAGAGAGAGAGTGAGCCAGAAATATAAAATGCCTGGCTTCAGCCCACATAGGACTCAAATGTTCCTCTTTAAAAAAAAATTTTTTTAAAGACTCACACATTCACAAAATCTAAAGTTTCCTTTCTAATTCTGTTGTATTGCATTCATGAGGTCTATGATTTCCTTTCTCCATTTTCCACTAACTTTTCAAAATTAATTCGAATTAGGAAATTCTAATTATGAAAGGATGCAATATAATATTCAAAGAATTATGCAAACGTCAATGAACAATTGAAGAACACAACCTGCTGAAGCTGTCCTGTGGGCTAGCAGGGACCTCCACCAGGCAACAGTTGAAAATGGTCCTCCATCAGCAGATACACCTGAGGCCAGGTGTGATGGGTCATGCATAGGGTGTGAGGAGACACTGCACAAAGCCAAACGCATGAGAGTCATGGGCACCTGGATCTGGTCATGTAAGGTGCACAGATCTCCCAAGGAGGTGCACACATCCTCTTACGCATCCTAAATCTGTGCTCTGCTGGAGACTCATCCATCCCCAGTGAGCCCAGGGCAGCTGCAAATGGCAGCTGAGGTATCATTCCTCCCAGAGCACAGGCGTCTCCCCTCGGCGTGGAACTTCCTCATTTCCTACCAGGATACAAGGAAGAAAACTGGGTAGACACGGAAACCCCTGCATATACACTTCCTTAAACCACGTAATTGATATTCAACCTATGTATCTTTCAACTCAGAATATCTAGGGACATGCAAATATTTTACTTATTTTATGGTTATTACTATAGCCTTTTAGCATTTAACATTTCAAGTCCAACTCATGTTTAATGCATGAGCTCTGGGAAAATTTGATTGATAGGATAGATTACTAATATGTTTAAGGAATAGCTTACAATAATCAGATTAGATGTAAAACAGTGGAAACTCTCTCCAAGTAAATGTGTAAGCAGTAAGTCTCTACAAACTGAAAACACATCAAGTACTCTACAGGAAAGGAAACCTCAGAGTGAGTAATCTTGGCTTTGGCTCAAGCTCCTCCTGACCCACTAAATCGTACAAGGGCATCGGTGGTTGAAAGCTAAAATTAACACTTCATAGGTCTTGCCAGAGAGTTCAGATATCTTCAGTGGGAACTTTCCATGCTCTTGTGACAGACCAACACCCATTGGTGTTGCCACGGGAAAAAAAAAATAAGAATTGAGTTTCCTGCCTTGGTTTTTCCAGCAACTGCCACGTGGGCAGCCTGCTTGGCCTCTGGTGATAACCCCACTCTGGTCGCACTGACTCCACAAATATTTATTGGCCATCTGCTATGTGCCTGGTACAAAGCTGGGTACCAGAGGTAAAGAGGGACATGGGACAGACAGAACATGTGCCCCAGAACCAAGAGGTCTGGCCCCCTAGACCAGCCCCTGTCCTCAATGGCCATGCGGTTGGAGGCCAAGTCTCAAAAATCACATCAATTCTAGGCATTGGAAGAGTTCCTGGTGGAAGCAGCATGCCACACCAAGTTCGTAAGGGCTGGACTAGATCCCAGCTCTGTCCTTTACCAACTGTGTGGTATGAACCTGTGGTCAGTTAGAAATGGCCAGAAAGGAAAAGCAGAGCTGGAGAGGGAGGGTGAAAGGAAGATCTGAGGGAAACCACATGGATATAATTTCTTTTCTTTAATCGGATGTAACTTTCATAGTCAAATATAATAACATCCGCAAGTCTTAAGTATACAGCTTGGTGAATTTTTCACATGAATCCCATGTAACCACCACCTAGATCAAGATACAGAACATTTCCCGCATCCCAGTAGATACAGTTTTTAAAGGGAAAATACCGAAAGTCAAATCTCAGGACTTCTGCTAGGTGACCACAATCACTCCTCCTGGCATCAGAGCCGTTTCCTGAGCAGAGGAGATGAATTTATAGCCTCTTTTCTCATCCTTCTAGTGACCAAGAGCACTACTTATAGAAAGGTCTGTGGACATGGGGATACAGATGGAGGCTGTGATCTGGCTTGGAACAGAGTTTCATTGCGTCCTAAGCTAACTGGCCAATCCAAGGACGAAATCTACAATCTTGCCCTCTTCTCAACACCAAACTCAAAAGGACTAGTTACCCAAGCCAGATTTTCCTTGTTATAAAACTAACTAAATATTTATCATAAAATTGCTACATGGGGGGCTGGCCCCGTGGCCAAGTGGTTAAGTTCGCGCGCTCCGCTGCAGGCGGCCCAGTGTTTCGTCGGTTCGAATCCTGGGCGCGGACATGACACTGCTCATCAAACCACGCTGAGGCAGCGTCCCACATACCACAACTAGAAGGACCCACAACGAAGAATATACAACTATGTACCGGGGGGGCTTTGGGGAGAAAAAGGAAAAAATAAAATCTTTAAAAAAAAAAAAATTGCTACATGGTCGAAATAAAAGCTGGAGGGATATAGCAGCACTATTCATAATAGCCAAAAGGTGGAAGCAACTCAGATGTCCATCAGTGGGCAAATGGGTAAACAAAATGTGGTCTATCCATACAATAGAATATTATTCAGCCGTAAAAAGGATTGAAGTACTGACACATGCTACAACAGGGATGCTACGACCTGGATAACATCCTGCTAAGTGAAATAAGCCAGAGCCCTAAGCTATATCATTCTGTTCATATGAAAGTCCAGAATAGGGAAATCTATAGACACAGAAAGTAGATGAGTGGCTGCTTAGGGCTAGTAGTGGGGACGAGAGGATAAGGATTCAATAGTAATGGAATTTCTTTTTGAGGTGATAAAAATGTTCTCAAACTGACTGTGGTGATGCTTGCACATATCTGTGAGTATACTAAAAATCACTGAATTATACATTTTAAATGGGTGAATTTATGGTAAGTGATTATAGCTGAATAAAGTTGTTTTTTAAAAGGAGGCAGGGCCAGCCCAGTGGCATGGTGGTTAAGTTCACTCACTCCACTTTGGCAGCCCGGGGTTGGTGGGTTCTGATTCCAGGCCCAGACCTACACACCGCTCACCAAGCCATGCTGTGGCAGCAACCCACATACAAAATAGAGGAAGACTGGCACAGATGTTAGCTCAGCTATAATCTTCCTCAAGCAAAAAGAGGAGGATTGGCAACAGATGTTAGCTCAAGGCCAATCTTCCTCACACACACACACAAAAATGCAGGCAATGCAAAGCAAATTGAAAGATCACTCATAGTCTTACTACCCAAAGATACTCACTATCCACTTTGAGGAATATCTTTCTGGTACTTCTCTCCATATAATTTTGTTGTTGTTTTACTTAATTGTGATCATACAATATGCAGTTTTATAGTATTGGCATGCCTTCCAACATACATCAGTGAGGATTTAGTTGCCAATAACAAAAATTGCTGTTTTAAGCAGAAATGATTTAACAGAGGGATCTCAGTGCTTACAAAACTATGGGAAGGACTATGGGAGAGGATCAAGGCTGGCTCTCCAGGGATGGACAGCGCTGCAGGACTGGCCAGCCAGGGCAGCTGCTAGCACTACCATCAGGAAGGTAGGGCACCAGAAAGCTGCCACCTTGACTGCTGAATCCAGCAATGCCCTAGTTACTTTCAAGCCAGGGGTAGGCACTGGAACTGTTGACCTCATAGCAACGCCACTGGGACCTCTGCCAACTCTGCCACACGTACACACATCCAAAAAGTATTCATGATCATGGCTATCAGCAGAAACCATGAAGGCAGCAGAAGTGTGACTTCCACTTTACTTCTCAAATAAGTGCATCTAAATGGCCATGATTAATTCATATCGGGAACCCTAGCTGCAAGGGAGTCTGGGAAAGAAACTGCTGGCTCTCTAGGATCTGTACTCTAAGAAGACATTACCATACCAGTTGTCACAAACGTTACAATCTTTTTAATAGCTGCATAACTTTTCACTGAATATATATCTCAACACAATGCATCAACCCCCACCCATTTAGGATAATTTGTTTCCAGCATTTAATAATGTTAATATTCCAAAGCTTAATATTATAAATAATTCTGTGATGACAATCCCAATAAGTGTATTGAATAATTCCTTCTCCCAAGCAGTGTGCCAGGCTTTTTATATTCATTATATTTATCATTCATTTTTTAGTTAACACTCATAACCTTCTTATGAGGTAGCTATTATCCCCATTGTACAGATAACAAAACTTGAGGGGTGGAGAGAAGTCAAAACTAGACCTGACACCAAAGCTTGCAACCTTAGCCATTCCCCAAATACTGATGACAAAAGGCTTTTTTTCATACTAGCAATGATTTCCACAAGACAAATAATCAGAAATAGAATTACTGGTTCAAAAGCTGTGAACATTTCTAAGGCCAGATTCTCAGTCAAAGTCATTATTAGGACTGAGAACGCATCAATGGCAGGAACTCACTTTTATCATTCGAATGTCTGGCTGAGCGCCTGGCACACTGTGACCACGAGAGGAATTCTTCTTGGATGAGTAACAGCGCATGTGCAAGTAGGCATGCGTGAGGACTCCCCAATTCAAAGCACTGCCTTCCTTCCCTCAGTCTGTTGGGTTTAGCCACCTTCACATGCCAGGTGACTCACCATCCAGGCCCAGGATTTGGTTGACTGTGAAGAAGTCTAAAATGACCTAATAAGTCACGCCATGGTGCATCTGAGTGACCACGCGCAGGGCTGGAAATTGCATCTCTTCCTTTAGGTGTGTAAATGGTAGCAATTTTTTAGCAAGTGCAACTGCTTCCGTTTGGATTATTTAATAAGTAAATGGCCCTATTAAATGCCAGTTCTCCAAATAAATATTAGCAACTGACATTTATTGTCAGAGTCCACCAATGTCCAAGGTAAGTTAGACTGGAAACCCAGGGCTTTGGCAGCTGTGTCAGCTGCATAACTAGTGCAGGCCACTAAATTGCCTTGACAAGACTCGCCCTACTTCTCCACCAGGAAAACAATTTGTACCCACACAATGCCCAACTGAAGAGGTTTGTATTGCTAAAATCTTGAGACCTCAAAGCACTGCTTTCCTCTGCAGAGCAAAGTTTGGTTGGCAGAATGGTTTGTCTGGGGAATTTCACCACTAAGGTGCCAAAAAACCTGGCGAACATCAGCTGGCCTATAAACAAGCAGGTCTGTGTCCCAATGGGTTCATTCTGCCTTTAGACTCGGTCATGGGGAGCTTTCCACAGTCCTTATTCCCACCCCCCAAAAGAAAAGAATCCCTAAGTTTATTAAAGATACTCCTTTTAGTGCTCCCTTACCCACTTCTTGGACGATATTATTCAGCGGTCTTTAAAGGGGTGGAATTAGAACCTGCATTATCAATATAGAAAATAGCTGGAGAAAATGCAGATGTTTTTTAGCTCATGTCCCACAGGCTGCTCTCACATCTCTGAAGCCGTATCAGGTCCTCCTGGCACAGTCAGAGGAAGCTGGGAGGCAGTATTACCCAACCAGACCTTAATGATTTTATTTATTCCACATGGCCTAAAAAACATGTTCGAACATAACTTGCCATAATTTTTCTGGAGATTTCTATGAATCACTTTTTAATTATGAATAATGTTTTTAGAGACACTCCTGAGAAATTTTACCCAAGGTTCCCTTGACAACCATCCCATAAAGTAAAGTGAAGCAGCTTCCATGACCAACATAGAAAATCTACTTTAAAGCATGGATTCCTAAAAGATCCATTAGTCATCTTCACTGAGAACGGATCTCACGATTTGCACATGCAAAGTGTCGCTGAGAAATTCAGATCAACAACCATAACTGGAAAAACACACTTACCGTCCAATAATGTTCAAAGGATTTTTATACAAAGGTAAATTTTCTAACTTCACTTGGAGCGTTTTCTCTTGTCTTCCAGCTAGGAATTTTCTCTGTGTGTCTAAATTATTGCCTTTCTAACCTCAGCGGAAGGTTTTCGGCTTTTACAGGCTCGACTATGGCTCCAGCAAGAAGGATTCTTGCCTCTAGGCTCAATGCAGGCCACTCAGAAATTAAAAATGTTTGTGCAAGGTAATGAGCGTGAATTTCCATTTCTGAGATTTACTTTCAGAAAATCCAATCGCTGGATCTCAAACAATCAAGCAGGGTCCAAGTACTCTTAGAAAAGAACAGATGGGCGGGGTTGGCCCTGGAATTCCAGGCCTTTTCGCAGGTGCGGCTCGCTGCCTTCCGCTTTCCTTCATTTGTCAGAGTTGACAGCTTCTCCAAAAATGATGGTGTAGACATCAGGCTAAACAGATATATAAATAAGTCAATTAGCTTTCAATGGAGCACTCTTTATGTTGCTTCAACAGGAAGATATTTTCTGGTCAATTACTTTAAGAAGACTTCAATAAACACTAAAAATTATTTGGGCATGCGTAATAATGGCGCTCATCTTTTTCCTCCCTGCTCCCAACTACCCAGGAAGTAACGTAAATTCACATACGAGCTTTGTATTCAGTACCTTGTCTAAAGTGCTTAAAAAGTGTTTGAGGCTGTCGCTTTCGGTCCAGATAGTGTTGAGAGCTCCGAAACAAGTGGAACAGGGCTCTCGTTGCCTTGCCAGGAGCAGCCAGCGTCTCTCTGTTTACTGAACCGCACTCCTCCGCGGACATTCACCTCTGCGCTTTTCTCCGTGTGCCCTCCCCCCCGCCCCGCACGCCCGGCTTGTAATTTATTCAAAAATTAGATTTCTCAATAAAGTTTTCTATATCCACCTCTCTTGTCCGAACCCCACCCCACCGCCCCCCGCATGCCCAGCCCAGGCCCTGGCAATTGGTAGGAACTCTCAAAAATGAAATGCAAGATTTGAACTAGGTCTCTCAAGCCCCATAACAAAGCGGCTTCTTGAGGCTTGGACACTGGGAACGTAGTAGTCGCCCTTGCACAGCTCCTTGAAGCCGTGAGCGCGCTAGCACCCTGACCACTCCTCCCGTCAAGAGGAAAGCGACGAGAACGATCCCCTGAACGGGAAACTGCGCGCCCAGAGAGGAAGGCGCTCGAGGCCTCACCCACCCTGGTCCAAAAGCTCCTGGGAGAGAAGCACAGAGAATTCCGTAGTCAGATTAAATAATGTCTTTGTCTACACACGCAGGGCGAAAAGAGCGTGGGTGCAATAATCAAGATTAGTTTGTTTCTGTCCTCCAAAAAATGAAGAAGGTGCTGTATGTGGGGCCAAAAATATTCACAAACCGCACAGTTTGAATCTACCCTATAGTTGATCAGTTCAGCTAGATGCTTTTGCCAGGGAAAATATTCTTCAAGTGAGAAAAAGTGCTAATCTTAAAAGTCTTTCGTTTTATATGAAAACGTGCTCTACCCCGCGCCTCGTCCTCCGGGGTATTTGCTCTGGCACCTAAAAGGAATTCCGGCTTGGGGCCCTTACAAGAGGGCGAGGGGCGGCGGGGGGGTGGGGGGGGGGGGAGTTGGACCTTCTTTCCCAATCGGGGACCACGCCGGGTCTCGCCACAGAAGGCCGAGCCGCCAGCGCAAGAATTCGACTCTGGATCCGGACTAAGTGCGCGCGAGCTGAGGACGGCTCAGGGGGCTTTGGCGAAGCCAAGATGAAAGCACCAGTGTCTAATTCCCACCAGACATCCCACCACCCACATGCACCGGGTCCCTTCCTCTCTTGCCTGCCCTACAGGTCCCCGTTCTCTTTGGTCCCTACTTCCCGCTTGAAAAGAATGGGGGAGTGGGCGCGGTTCGCAGGGCGGAAGCCGAGCGACAAGAGCGCGCGCGGGGGGCGGTGGGGGGAGGGGAGACGAGCACAGGTTGCCAGTTCAGGCTCGGGACGACGGCCGCACGGCCTCTGGTACCCATGTGAGCGTCACGAACAGCCGCACGCACCCCAGCACCCCTCCTGCCCGGTGCGTACTAAGACGCTGCAGGGTACGCTGCGCTCCCGCCATGCACGTTGCGCGCGCGCGTGCGTCTGAGCCTCCCACTCCCCCGTGCCCTGCGCCCCCTACCCCGGAGTATATTATCCTCCTTACCCCCATCCCGCGCTCGGATCTGCCGGTGTTCAGCTAGCCCTCCGCCCTCCATGCTTACAGAGCTCCTCAAGCGGCCGTGCGCATTGCGCCCCCTTCCGCCAACCGGCCCAGGCCGCGTTTCTAACCACGCCGGCGGTCCCGAGACTTTGCGCGCGCAAAAGGCTGGGCCGCGCCGCAAAGTAAGTCTGACACAGTCCCCTTCTGAGCCTGCACCCAGTGCTGGGAGTTAGGAGTCCTGAGTCTCTTCTGCGGAATTAAAAATACCTCTAGCGACCAGGAAGCCTGATGCTCGGGCCCCCTCCGGCCACCCCTGTCCCCGATTGTGACCCGCTGCTGCCAAAGCCTGGCTTCGGCCCAGGGCGGGGACCGCTGGCGAGGAGGTCCCGCCACCCGCCTCCAGATGGGCGCGGACACCACACAAGCGTGGCTCCGCCGCCGCTCAGATCTGAAGTCCGGCTTTGACGCTCCTGGAACCTCTGATGCGGGACGGCCCTCTGCCGTAGGCGTCGCCTTTTCCTCCCAGGAGGGCAGAGTGTATTCTGGGACATACACCTCTCAGGAAACCCGCCTTCCACGCCGGCCTTTAAAAGAAAAGAATAAATAACTAAAAATCCGCGCGAAGCGGGAAGATGCTCACGCCTGGGGTTGGGGCGGCCGTGCGCGCCCAGGCCAGGCTGGAGGGGGCTAATGTGGCCCTCCCGCCCGCCCGTCGGCCTTTCTGTGACTTTTCTCTGCTAAACCTCGAATCAGTTAGCCTACCTATTCCTACAGATTTGTTCAGATTAAGGAGAGAGTTCCCCAATGTTCGCTTTGCTTTGCAAATAGCCCCCTTAATTAAATGAACCGAGTTTGTGCCTTTAAAGTACTATAATAGCCCTATATTATAGTCAGCCCTACATTAAGAAAAAAAAAATAAGCCCATCGTATTGGTGCTTTCTTTGATGTGCAGAAACATGTGTCTCTGGCCGATAGGCTTTATTTTTTTTGTAACGAAATTTTTTGGTTGATGTTTTCGAAAGGCCGTTTCAGCGCCGTCGTTAATGAACTAATTGATTTTCAGATTTCAAGGCGGTGGTGTGTAATTGCTGTAACCACTCAGGAATTTCAGCGCACACTAGACTCTTAAAACTCCTCCAGCTCAAGCGCTTCCAGACACCATCCTATGCTTGCTGGAGGTGAGAAGCCGGGCTTTGCCAGGAAGCGATGGACTGCCTCTCCTCGAACTGCGACTCTGAGGCGACGTTTCCGTTAAGCCCGGCCGAGAGCCCCCCGGGGAAGGACAGCGGAAGCTCCAGGCCGCAGGGTCGTGGAAAGGTGGGAGGAGGTCGGCGACGCTCGGCTGCCCTCTTCCTCTGCCCCATCCCTGGCCGATCCGGGCGCTCCAGGAGTATCCCCACCCTCCCCGGAGGACACTGGGTGTCTGTGTGCGTTGGGAGGGGCGCGCCAAGTCCCCAGGCACCTTCTCAGAGACGGGGGAGAAAGCGGGGCCGGGTTTGGAAGACCGGGAAGGAAAATGCAGAGGAAAGGCTACCCTCTCACCCCCGGGTAAAATTAGACAAAAACGTGTGGCCGCTGTTTACTCAAACCTGGCGCGGCTTCGGTGGTTCCCTGTGGCCCTCGCTCAGGGACTTTGCTAATCACTATAATTAATTACAGTGGCACTCACTGTTTTTGTTCTCCTAAATGCATGGCCTTGAGGGAGAGAAGGAGGCAGCAGTTACTCCATTCTTCGGACAGGAAACACTGCCCGGGCCGGCCCCCTGGAGCCCCCAACCCCAGAACCCGAAGTTGTCCCCGACAAGCAAGTGCGAGAAGGATCGCGCTCTTTCCGGAATCGCAGAGGGCAGAAGCAGCCTTAGGCAGGCCCGGATGGGCGGCTGGATCTCCCGCCCTGGGGCACCCTCTTCCCCCGCCCCCGGCGCGGCCGGGGCACCCCCCGCGGAGGACAGAACACTCAGGGACCGGGGGTGCCTGCGGATCCGCCCTAGTTCCTGCGATGTAATGAAATAATCGGAGAGAAAAAGCAAACACTTTCTCCAAAGGAGCATCTTCCACTGAGAGAATTGATTAAAAACAAAACAAAAAGAGAAGTAAACTTCGCTCCCTCTACTGTCTGGGGACGAGTGAGGGGAGCCAGTTACTGTCTTGACCTGGTGAGGAATGACTCATTACGAAATTGCTCTGGATACCTGTGATTACTTTTAAATAATGAGTAGTAATATAGTAGTTGTCTGATCATTTCTGGGAGTAGCAATGACCCCCGGCAGAGGTGGTGGTATCTCCATGGGTCTTCCACAAGGAGAGGAGAGAGAAATCGAGGAGCTCTGGGAGATAGGTCAGACTAAAAAAGCCTCCGAGCCATGAAATAGTCATATACGCGATACTGGACGCAAGCGGAATTTTCTGTAGAAACCATATGGTGCTAATTGCTTGTGTAGACAAGGGCTTATAAAACGAATGCGTTCGAATCTCCGTAGTCCTGGATTTTCTGTTGCCTTGGCTTGCTCCAGCGGTTGAAGTTCTCCTTAAACACCACGGCAGAGTTTCGAAACCCCCTCCCCCAAATCTAGTGCTCGGAATGGGAAGGGTCCTGCCCCCGCCCCCTCCTCCTCAGTGACTAAGTCTCTGATCCCCTCCTGCCATCGCCGCACGCAGCCTCTCCGGGAGCCCATCCCCAGTGGAACATCTGCGCGTTTCCCTCTTGATCTCGGTTTCCGCGGGGGATGGGCCTCAGGTAGGCGCCGGGCGCGGCCTGGGGAAAAACAGTTGCGGAGCATCTGAAGCGGAAAATCCAAGCAGATGTGGGGCGGCCTGGGCCTGCCCCTTTCCTCTTGGGGCCTCAATTTCTTCCAGATCAGTTTCCTAATGGAAAATTTCTAAGAGATGGAGGGTATGCCGAGGCTTGCTCCTGCGCCTCGGGGTGCGCAGGAGCGCTTCAAGCAAGACAGACTGGGGGTGGGGGCGCCCCGCAAGCAGGCCGCGCGCTGGAAGCTCGAGGCCTCAATGTGTCGGAACTCTCTTCCCACCCGTCCTCTTCCTGCCCTCAGCTTCCATTCATTCTAGACTCTGCTGGCTCTTTCTGAGCCGGTAGGGGAATCGCTGTTTCTGGTGATGACCGACCTGGGGTCATCCGTTGCGTTTATGCCTTTTCTCTGGTCTCAAAAGGCCAGTGTCCATGCTGTGTGTGAGGCGCTGGGCGTTAGGTCCAAACCATAGACCAGGAAGTACTCCTCGCACCAAGAGACCAGGAGCGAGGGACATGCAGCAGGTGTCCCAAGCCGGGACCGTGCGTTTAGTGCTTTTTCCAGTTTACACAGAGCTTCTAGCCTGTGAGTGTTCATCCTAAGTATCCTGTTCCCCGCGGCCCGGGCTTTCCCTTCGGTAAGGAGAAAACCATAACCAGGCGCAGGGGCTCTTACTTCACTGTTTCACAAGATATCACTATCCTCCCCACCTGGGAAATTTCGGGGTCCACACCCGAATACTTAGGGTACTTTTGGTGGTGCAGAGAGCCCAGGCCCATTGCCGTGTGTGTGTGTGTGTGTGTGTGTGTGTGTGTGTGTGTGTGTGTTGAATGAATGTGTTGGGGTGGGTAAACAATGCCCCCTTGGCATCTGCTGGGACTGGCTTTTGGCCTGAAACTGTCCCACACCGATATGTCTGCTAGCCTTTGAACACTCTGTTAAGCTCCCTCTCAGACCGCGCGATTCGAACCTGTCTGGCCGATGAGAGAACAGCGGCTGCCACTGTGAAGACCCAGTAGCGAGATCTCGAGTACGCTTTCCCGTAAAATGCGGGAAATTTGGTTTGAAGAAAGTTTCTGTTCTTGTTACTTGTCGGGTTTCTCCGACTTCCACTTAACCATGTTTCTGCGATCTGCGTAATCCCTTCAAGCCCGAAGGAATTCTCCTGGGTCTGTAATTGAGGATTGGAAGTCTTGGGGGTGAGGGAAGCGTTAAATCCTCCCCAAGCCTGAGAGGTCCCGGAGCGCACTCAGGGCGGCCTGCGCAAGCTGCGGCGGGGCCTAGCCGGCAGTCGGTTCCCCCTTGGAGCCCCTTCTCCAGGAAGCCCCGAGACGACAACTGTCGGCGCAGCCCGGCGCGGGATTCCAGGCGGGGAAGCGGGCCAGGCGCGCTGCGCTGGGCACTGCGTACCCGCGCCGCTCGCGTGCGGCCCTGACCCTCTGCGCTTACTGCTGCAAACAGGAAAGCGCTCCTGGATCTGAAATCCCAAGGGAAAGTGCTGGTTCCTTGGTGCGCCCGGCGTCTGGTGAAGGGCCACCAACTCCAAAGCTTGTGCAGCTTCGTGGTTTCAGAACACCAGCCCAGTGAGCCAAGGCCACGGCTCTAGGTTTGGCAGGGCTTGGGGACAGGTGGGGGCCCAGCCGGTGTCTGCGCACTGTCCCGCCCACCGAGGGAGCTACGACGACTCCAATCGCCGTCAAACTTATGACTTTCAAAGGGGTCCTTGGAAAAGGAGCGCCAGCTGCGGACAAGGCGGTCGCAGGCCAGGCCCTCCGGGCGCTGGGGAAGGAGGTGGGTGCCGGGACATCATCGGGCAGTGAGTGTGAGGAGCAGCAAGCTCCTGGGGGGGGGGGGGGGGGGGGTGGTGGAGATGGGACCAAGAACCAAGATCCTAGCGCCAGACCTTGCGGCTTTGGCGTCTCACCTCCCGCGCCCACCTCCAGATCAGGCGGCCCACAGCCCCACAGCCTGCACACGGCCAAGGCACCCACAGGACCCCCTGCCCTGCGTCCACGGCATCTGCCCTCTGACCCGCGCGCCGGGGAAGCTGGCGTCGTCCCAGCGCACGCGTCTGCACCGTGTCTAGAGGGTTCAGACTCCTAGAATGAGTGGGGTTTGTGCTGCTGCCGCGGCAGGATGTAAGGAGGATCCTCTCGGGGTTGCAGGCACCGGAGGGCGGGGGCGGAGGAGGGGGCGGCGACGGGACGGATAGGAGGACTCTTGGGGCCCAGAGTGGCCCTGAGGGAGAATGCCAGGATGCCCTGCGGCCGCGTCTCCAACTGCGCTTCCCTACTCCAACTGCCTCCTACCCCATTACCGTGGCCCGCACCAGCGCTCGCCCGATGACCCTTGTCCTGAAGCGCGCGCCCCAACCTCGAGTCCCAGAAATGCCGACTGCGCTAGGTCGGACTGCGGGACCTGGGGCTGTTGAGCCCTGTTCCCGCCGCGGCCGTGGGCGAGGCCTCGCCGCTAGGCTCGGCTCCCCGGCCCCCTCCCTCCGTCGGGGCCGCGCGTCCCCGCGGCCTCCGGCCCCTCCGGGTTAAGGCGCCGACCTCCTTTCGCTCTCGGGTTTCGAGGAGAGAAAGGGCAGAAGGGTCACTTCTGAGCCTCTCTCGCGCCTTTTCCTGATGGGGGGAGGGGGGCGGTCTTCCCTTCTGGCCTCCCGCTTTCTGCTTTCTGACCTGCGAAGAGGGGACAGTGCGGGCGCAGGAGCGGCGCGGGCTCGGGGGATTCGGTCCTTCCCGGCAGTGCATTTGGCCGGCGTGTCGCGCCGCCTCCCCTCGGCTGCGCCCGCCCGGGACCTACCCAGGAGCCACAGAGGAGGTCTTGGCATCTCTCCCTTTCTCCCTCCTTCGCCCCTCCCCGCCGCCCTTCCGAGTGCCCGGGTCCCGCGACCAGCTCGCAGGAGCCGGTCCCCGCGGCGCGCCGTGTGCACTCACCGCGACTTCCTCGAGCCCGGGAGCGCGCGGGTCTCTCCTGGGAGAGTCGCTGGAGGCAGCGGCGCGGAGGCGCGCCTGTGACTCCGGGGCCGCGGCGGGGTCGGGAGGCGAGATTCGCCGCCCCCCCCCCCGCCGCGGTCCCCCCCCCCCCCCGCCCCCCCCTCCCTGGGCCTCGGCGGCCCAGTGCTCCGCCCGAAGGCGGGTCCGCCATAAACAAACGCGGCTCGGTCGCACGTGGGCCGCGGAGCTTCTGCGCCTCGCGACAGATCGCGGGCTCCGGGCGCCGCGTCTTCAGGCACAGGGAACCGCCAGGGAGGGCAGGAGAGCGCGCCCGGGCCCGGCCCCCGCCGCCTCCGCCCAGCTCCCCTCCGCTACCCTCCCGCTCCATGGCTCCGCGGCCGCCGCCGCCCATGCCGCCCTCCAGGCCGGAGGGGCCTCGCGGCAGCGGGGTCGAACACTCGGTCAAGGACTAAACAGCACCGCCGCTTCCTCGCCGGCCCCTCTCCACCCTCTAAGGAAAGCCGAGGCGCGGGAGACAGGAGGGAGAAAGCAAGAGCCAGCAGAAGGGAGCGGGAAGTCGGGGCTCTGTTCGCCGCGGGACAGTCCAGCCGGGAGGAGGCTGCGCCCGGGGCGGCGCGGCCGGGTTGCGCCAAGCTCGGGGCCGGCGGCTGCAGAGAGGCGTCTCGGTGCCCCAGGCCGGCCCCGCGCACCTGCCGGCGGCCGGCGCCCCAGACTCACCTGGCCCCCGGTGCCCCCTTCCCCATCGCCGCCGCTGCAGCCGGAGCGGGGCTCCGCGGGCCTGGAGCACGGCCGGGTCTAATATGCCCGGAGCCGAGGCGCGATGAAGGAGAAGTCCAAGAATGCGGCCAAGACCAGGAGGGAGAAGGAAAATGGCGAGTTTTATGAGCTGGCCAAGCTGCTCCCGCTGCCGTCGGCCATCACCTCGCAGCTGGACAAGGCGTCCATCATCCGACTCACCACCAGCTACCTGAAGATGCGCGCGGTCTTCCCCGAAGGTGAGGCCGCAGGTGGGCGGCGGGGAGCGCCGGGGATCCCCGCGAACTTGGCCCCAGCGGGGAGCTGAAACCGGACCGGAGGGGCCGCCTCAGCCTTCCGGGCAGTGCCAGGGCGTCTTGGGGAGGCCGCGGCGGGGCTTCGGCTCCTGCTGGAGAGAGAGAGAGAGGCCAGGGCTTTGGCACCCGGGCGATCAGACCATCTCCCGGCCCAGGGCTGGGCTGGGGCGAACCAAGAATTGTTCTGTGTTCATGCTAGTCCATTCTAGTCTAACTTCCTTTTTTTCTTTCTTCATTTCTTTAATTCCCCCTTTTATCTTTTCCTTCCTTCATTCCTCTCTCTCTTTCTGTAGAGGGGAATCATATGCACCCTGCAGGGGTGAAGGGCGCTTGCTGCTACCCCTGGGAGAGAGTGGAGTGCCCCAGGAGGCCCAGGCCCTGCAGGCCCTAGGCGGACGAGAGCACTGTGAGGACAGAGGCCTCAAACTCCCGCTTCTCGGGTCCCCTCTTCTCTGCTCGCCTCTCTTGGGGCTGGGGTGCGGGCAGTCAGGGTAGGAGAGACCGGCAGGAGAGAGAGAGGCTATCAGTTCAGAAATGGCAGGCGGGCCTGAGCATAGTCTTCTTTTCTGCATTGGCATTAAAAACTCAGAGGGGCAGGTGCCACAGCGGGTAAAGTTTGCTGGGACCCGAGGATCCGGCAGACCGCGGTGGTCAGAAATGGTGGCGCACTGGGCCGGCGTTCACCTCCAGCTCACGGCCTGCCTGCGGGTGACTGTGGCTGCCAGGCCAGGCACCTCTGAGCAGCAGAGCTGGGAGAGGCCTGGTCACCACGGCATTCGCTTTTGGTGTCCCCGCGGCCTTGAACCGATCATCTTCCAGTGGCTCGGTCCCCTGCTGGGGTCGTTGGGGCCTGGCACCAGAGATTCTGACACCTGGCCTGATGGGTGCCCCAAGACCTCCAGGCTGAGAAGCCATGAGGGCTGCATCGGCCTCTGGAGCTCCAGAAGCCCATGTGGGAGTAGGGAGACAACTTCAGCCCTGGGACACTGGAGGGTCGCTGCAGTGCAGCGACAGGTGTCCGTCCACCGCTGGGCACCTCAGTTAAGGCGGTCCCTGGGCCAGGTGATCCTCCCAAAGTCAGTGAGCTCGACCTTTCGCGGTCAGCGGCTCTAACCCTGTTACTTGTAATCGTCTCTGGGTCTGGAGCTGCGCTTCACACTGCCTCCCGGGTGGAGCGCAGAGGGCCTGTCCGCCAGCGCGACATCCGGCTCTGCAGCGCGGCTGGCCTGGCCAGGGAGCCAAGCGTGGGAGGACGGAGAGCCGAGGGTTGTGGCCTCCCCACGCCTCCCAGCTGGGCGGGGGTACAGGCCCAGGGTGCTTTCATCCCTGGCACGGAAGCCCCAGACCGGCCCACTGGAGTCCAGCGTGCATTCTTCCACTTTCCACCCCGTTCAACCGAGGTCCCCCTCCAGTCCTCCCACTGGGAGCTTTCGGACCAGGTGACCCCTCCAGCGGAGAAGAAAAAATAATTCGTCTCCAGCTGAAGTTTCAGTGAAAATTAAAAGAGAATTAAGTTTCATAAAGGACAAGTCTCCTTCCTAGCCGGGGAGGTGTGGTGGTCACTGGTTTGCTTGGGTGAGCTGAGTCTTAATCCGCATGCTACAAAGCCGGTGTGGCACCCCAATAGGACACCCGCCCCCTCTCCCCCTCCCCGTTGGAAATAGAAACAAACAAAGAAATGATGAGAACATTAAATGGTGTGGTTACTGATGATTTCAAATAAGCCGGAAATTTGTTAGAAAGGGAGGTCTGGAGAAAGAGGACTAATTGTAAGCCGTTTGTTGGGTGGGGGATTTCTAGGAGAGCCTGGTGGAAATTGGGAAGTGGTGCATGTACTGCTTCTGCAGATATTTGAACCGAGTCTGTGCGTTCCAGCTCTGGAAAACCAGTCTCCAGGCATTTGGGCCCGGAATGGCTTGGCCCTGAGACGGTGGCAGGGGTGGGGTGGCTGGAGGTCGCAGGACACTTGAGCACCAGGCCCAGGTGCTTTGTTTGGTAGTGGTCTGGTTGAGGGGCAGCCTGTGCATCTCTGGGAGGTGACCATCTAGGTTGGAACTCTGTGAGGTCAGGAGAGAGCTGTGTGGCCCTAGAGTCTTGGAAATGGCCCTGAACCTGTGGGATCGCCATTGATCCGGACAGGCAGGAGGTAGCGGTCTCCTGCAGCACTGGCCTCGAGCGGTGGACCCACAGCCTCCGGACTGGTCCCTGCGCTCGCTCAGAGGCCTCTAGCTGGCAGATCTGGATGGCAGCAACGTTCCCCTCAAATCAGTCAGGGCTGAGGAGTTGAGAAGCCCACAGCTTCGGGCAGAGGAAAAGATGCGTTTAGACTGATCTGAATTATGCAGAATAACTTGTTCGCCCTCCCGGGAGCTCGGAAGGGCCGGGGCTTGGAAGCCGCACCTTCATTGATTTAACCTGTTGTGGGGGACTCAGGTCTGCTCCGGGGAATGTGGTGCGGGATTGGGACTGGGCCTGGCGTGGGGGAGCCGTTGAGGTCAGGGAGCTTTTAGGGCCAAAGCTGTCCTGGGTGGCGGCGGGAGCTCCCAGACCTGCTCCGGCTCTCTCTCGGCGGCTGCGGATGGAAAGATCACGAGTGGAGCCGATGTGCCAAGAGCCATCTCACTGTTTGATGGCCCCAGAGTGAGCAGGATCCCTGGGTGAAGAAGGATCTAGAGATCAAGTTAGGACTTTGGGAGTCAGAAAATGAATAACACAGTCCGAAGGAGCCACAGGAATCACCAGATTAACCCTTATACCTGAGGAAATTGAGACCAGAGAGGGGAGGACCTTTCTCCCAAGGTGCCAGCGCAAGGACAAGAGAAGGCCATTGTCACCGTGGCAGATCGGTGGGCCGCCTGTTCTCGGCCGCGCGCAGGAGAGGCAGCCGGCCTGGGCTCCTTTCATTCTCGAGACTGCCCCCGCGTGAGGAGAGAAAGAGGGCCTTGGAGAGTCCCTGTGCAGGAGCAAAGAGGCGACTGGAGCCAGGGTGGATGCTCCAAGGATAGGCCAGAGCACTGGCTTGGGGGTGCTGGTAGTTTTTACAGCCAGTCCAAAACTCAGCTTTGCCTGCCCTCCTGGGCCTTGTTCTCATTGTCTGTAAAATGGGCCTCTTAGCAGCTCCATCGCTGCACAGGGTTCCTGGGATCAAGAGTGAGGGACCAGGCGGTGCAGGTGGAACTCTAACATATTCTTCCTCCAGTCACTCCGTTTTGTGAGCTCACCAAGTTTCCATGGCCAGCTGTGGCTTAAACAGCCGATTGCCTCACTCCGTGGACCTCCCGGGACTTACTGCTGGGAGTTGGAAGACTCACTGGGCCACGTTTTCTCCCCTTTCACAGCGAACTAGGAAGCGGGAGGTAGATGGGCAGGAAAGCGGGCAGGAGAGCAAGGATGGCTTCTGCAGTGGACTCAGAATTGAAAACTTTGTGAGTTCACTGGCCGGTTGGGAAGGCCTGGTACCCCCAGGGCTCAGGGGACTGCTGGGGCCCATGGGCTGCCTGCCCTCTTTGCAGTATGGCCGGCCTTCCCTTCAGGAAAGGGGGCGCTTTGGAAATACAGAAGCACCGGGGTGGGCAAACTCTTCTGCTCTCTGGCCATGACTGCACGGAGACGACGCCAGGCAGGACGCAGGGCATGTTCCACCACAGGGTGATCTACGCTGGGCCTCAGGAAGCCAGAGTCAGGGCAGCAGGAGCTCCGCGGCCAATCTCACCGGGATTCCTGTGCGCAGAGGATGGCTTCCCTTCCCTGCCCTCGCACGGCTGGCAGGAGGGACTGGCCCAGGGTCTGGGCTCAGAAATGGAGTTGGAAGCTAAGAGTGACTGTGGGAAGGAGAACAGAGGCCCCAGCCCCTTTTCCCAGACCAGAAGTCTCCAGACGGGTGTGGGCGAGAAAGAGGGGGAAGGGACAGCGACACTGAGCACAACATTCACTTAAAAAGAAGTGAAAATGGCCTTCATACACAAAAGTAAGTGGGGTTGGAGGTCTGAATTATTCCAGTGTGGAGAATTATCTGGCTTTAGATTCTGGCAGGGACCCCCAGACACACACACACACTAGAGGGCCAGGAGAAGGGAGGCCCTCCTAGAAATTGTCAGGAACAGAAGCACTTTGACTTAGAGGGTTTGGTGAGGAGACACTCGCCCTAAACTGACATGGGGTCACAGACTCCAAGTCTTTATCGCAGCCCGAAATGTAGCTTTTAAAAAGAAAAAAAAAAGCCTTATTTTTTAGAATAATGTGGATTTTTACAATCCTCTCCCCATCTCTACTTGGGAGCCTGACATGCTGTGGGGTCCGGCGGGGGTAAAGCTTGCAGTCGCTGAGCAGGAAGCTCCGGGCAGTGGTGAAGGGACCTCCCCGGGGCCCTGGCGGTGGCGAGGAACTGGAGCGCGCGCGTGTGGCAGATTCAACCCCCGGGAGCCGGCGCCCAGGGCCCGGCCCAGGCGCTCCGGGGCGCGGCAAGGGCGCCTCCTCCGAGCGGCGCTGGGCGCTGCGCACTCGTTACTGCGGCGGCGGCCCGGCCTCCATCCCACCCCTCAAAGTCCAAGCATTAGGCGTTGGGGTCGTGGGGACTTCCGTCTGTCGTCTGAGCACGTACGACACTGGCCCGCGGCCAGGCAAGGCCAGGTTGGAGGCCCCCTCCGCTGCCCTGCTCCGTCGTCGGCCCGAGTCAGGTCTTCTCCAGGCGCCCATCTCTACCACTCCCGTCGCACCCGGTCCCCAGCCCGCGCTGCGACTGTTGGTTTGGAACAGGGCTTAAGGGCCGGGCTTTTCAGGGATCCCGGAGAGAACGAAGCATTCCACCACCGGAAAAAGGCTGAAGTGCGCGGAGGAGCCCCAGAACCACGACGATTTCCTGGGGTCCTGGAGTCGAGGGAGAAGGCTATATTAGAGATGCAGGCTTCTTCGACGGGCTCTCCTAGAACAGCGAGGCAGGGGCTCGGTCCCAAGCTCCCCCCGTTACAACCTTGCACAGGCTCCTGGGGCCCGGTAGCCCCGAAGGGAGTTCCTGAGCATGCGCCCCCGTGGTGGTCGTGCTCTGAATTCCGTGTTGTAAACGCCGTAATGACTGGCATTGGACGCTGGCTCCGCAGTGGGCCCTGTCGGGACGTGCGCCTTGTGAGGGGAGAAGAGAGAGCGCGGTGGGAGCCGAATAGCCCATCCTTACTCCCCCACTATGCACACACCCTTCTTGACTTTGGAGTGTTTTGCAATCAGCAAGCGTGACTTGTGTCCTCAGATGGCCCACGACACGCGAAAGGCCACGCTTGGTAATAACACGCCCCCTCCACAGGCGCCGGGGTAGTTACTGGGGGAGGGGGAGCCGAGGAGAGGGCTGGAGGCAGGATGAAAAGGGAGAGCAAGAGAAAGCGGGACCAAGGTGGTGGCAGCCTGGGCAAACAAGGAGGCCTTCTGCTGGACTGAGCTCTTCGCTCGGCGCCTGGCAGTTTAGCTCATTTAATCCCCAAACCACCCCATTTTAGAGGTAAGAAGTAAAGGTTAGGGGTCAGGGCACTTGCTGGGGATCAGAGCGTCCAGACTGGCCCAGCTGGCATCTTGAACGTGGAAGGAGGAGGCAGGAGGAGGTGAGCCCCCCGCCCCCGCACCTGTCCTCCGCGTTTTTATCAATCCCAGATCCAATTTTTCGTGGAAGGGTGGTGGCACGGTCTGGCCGTCCCCTGTTATTAACCCCACTTAATTTTCATAAGATCCTAGAGGAGTCTTTTTGTCATCGGTTTAGATACCCAAGGTTGCCCTTGGGGACATGTGAGATCTGCCGTCCATCCTAGGTGTTCTTTTCAAAGTCCAGACCATTTCTCCAGGGTCGGACCCAGGGGTCACTGGCCGCAGCAAGAGTCCTGCTCCCGGGCCCAGAAGAAGCAAACCTCGCTGCCTCCTGTAGGTCTCAACTCGTGTGTCCCCTCAACTGAAAGGGGTGACCCTACCTCACAGTGAGGGGACCCCTCCACCACCTCCCCTTTGAGCAGAATCATCTTATTTGTGCGGTTCCATGATTATGCTCTGTTACCTGCGTCTGGAGGATGGGACCCAGCAGGTAACCTCAGGGCCTGGCTAGGGCCCCTGCACAGCAGCCACTCAAGAGCTGTTTGTTGACTGAGTGAGCATCCAGAGAGGAGGGACCATATTTTGATAGCTCCTGTGGCAGGCCAAAGAGCCAGCTGAGTGTGGATACCAAGGTACAGGCACCCACACATCCTCACAGGCAGAGGGGGAAGGGGGATACCTGGCTCCTCTTCTCTCTGACCCAGTGGCTGACGCCCTCCCCATGACCTACCTGGCCATCTGGACTCCCAGTAGCTGAAAGTTCCCCTCAGATTCCCTTGCTGACACATGAAGGACAAGCTGGACCCTTGCAGGAAGCCACAGGTGGGGCTCGGGACCCCAAGCTGCTCCCCTAAAGTGAAGAGTGGCTCCCGAGATCAGGCAAGACAGACCACCAATGGCTGATAACCTTGGAGGAACTTAGTCCAGTCTTTTCTTACACTCCTCTCATTTTTCAAACAAATAAAGCCCTTTGTTAGGTCCAGGTAAGGGCCACATGCCCAGGGCCTCACTTTTTGGGGAGTATATATGGCTTTATAGTACCAAGATGATTATTTTTCTGTTACAAATCTTACCTTTTTTGGTCTCCGTGTTCAGCCTAAAGTAGATTTTTATGGGCTGAGCGAAAGGCCTCGCCCACGGTGGTTTCTAATGGAAGAGCTGGCAGCACCAAGGCCCTGGGATGAGGTGGCATGGGGGCAGGGATGCTGGAGGGGATCTCCCCCACACCTACCACCTCTGCCAGGTCCGGAAGGGGCTGTTGGACCAAATCTCTGCCTGAAAAGTGGAGGCTTCGGGAAATTGTAGGAAAAATGATAATGATATAAGGGAATAAGTCTCTCTTAAAGTATCAGGGTATTTGAGTTATAGGGAAAATTGTCCTGTGTACTCAATGCACACAAGGCTAGAGCCTGCAACAAAGCTTTTGGGAGAGCTGGATGGGGAATCTGGTCTGGGGGTCAGTATTGAAGGTGGAGATTTCCCCAGGTCGCTGGGCCCCAGACTCTTCTAGAAGCCCAAGGCCGGGAGGCTGAGACCGCTGTCCCCACCGAGCCAGGCAAGGGTGGCTTGGCCCAAAGCGGGGGAAGAACCCATGAGTAGGGTAAAGGACTGTTGCCAGAGCACATTTGTCCACTCTCAGAAATCAGCCTTCCCCAGGCTCTTATTAAATTATTTCTTCATTCAAGCCCCGCAGCTTTGAAGTTTTGGTTCTTTCCATTTCTGGTTAAGTGGATTAAACACTGCCGCCAGGACGGCTGCCTGGATTGAGGGGAGGAAGGACCTGCCCGTGAGAGCCAGTGGCCCACGACTGCGGTCACTGTGGTCACCCTGGAAGGCGGAATGGGGCCGACGGTGGTCTCCTGGGGTTAAGGAGACACCTCGGTTCACGTGGCGGACGCTGCGGGACTGCGATCCTATCTGTGGGATCAGATCGGGATGTGTGGAAATCAGCCACTTCCCTCTGGGGAGACCCGGGTAAGCCCCTAATTCCTAGAGCCCAGGAGGAGAAATTAAAGGTCATCCCTTTTTTGGTTGCCCAACAGAGTTTGTCTGGAAGGGTCTCCAAAGCCGGGGGCACGGGGAGAGGGGCTGGGCCCCGAGGTGCTCTGGGCCGGGGAGGCTCCCTCGCGCTAGGGCTGCGTTTTCCGCGTCTCTGGGGTCGAGGCCTCCAGAAGCCGGGATGCACCGGGCGCCCGCCGGGACAGTGGGCGACCCAGGGCGGCTACGCAGCGACTCTCCGGGAACCCACTCCCGCCGCCCGCTCAGATGGGCTTTGCGGTCCTGGAAACAGTGCCTGGATTCGCCATGGCTGGGCAGGGTTCCCTGCCCTGCGCGTCGCGCTCTGGCCTCTGGTCCCACGCTCCCCGCGCGCAACGGGCTGGAGGCCAGCCTGGCCCGCAGTTCTGGGCGGAGGGGAGGCGACCGCGCCAGCGGAGCCATAGCGCACAGGGTCGCAGCCGGCCGTGGGAGATGCGCGAGTGGGCCTGGAGCCTGGGGGCGCGTTCTCTGCGGGGGAGGGAACGGGGCGCAGGCTGACACAGAGGTCACCGGCCTTTGCCACCTCGCGCTAGGGCTGCGGCACTAAGTGGAGGGTTGAGGGCCAGGCCCCCAGCGAAGGGACTCCAGGGAGCGGCTGGGGGTTTCTCCCAGCTGGCGCTTAGCGCTTTGCTTGGAAACCTTACTCGGCTTTCCAGCTTCCTCCCGAGGGTGAGGGGAAAAGCCTGGGATCTCCGGGGTCGCAGCAGTTGAGCCGAGGGCGCAGCAGAGGGAGGTCTGCTGGGCACGGCCGCCTTTCCCCTGGTGCGCTTTCTGCAACACTGGTGGCCTTCGAGGAGGTGGTGGGGAGCAAGAGGAGGCCTTGGGAGGGGCCGGTTAAGAAGCAAAGGCGCTAGGGGACCCCAATTAAGTGACAACAGACACTACCTAGTTACCATCGGCTGTCACTGCCTTCGGCCCATCCCCCGCCCCGCCGCTGGCTCCTTTGGAGTTTGCGCTCGGGAAGTCCCCAGGTAAACCCTGCCTGGGCTATAGCTCTTGGATTGGAGCTCCCAGGACGCCTGTAAGGGCCGGCGCGTCCAAGAGATTACAAGAGGTTGAAAAAAGATCTTTTTTTTATGCCAAAAGATCGGGGAGGGCTTTTCGTCGGTGGCTGGCTGTCTTTGGGAAAACGTGGTTGCCAGCGATGCGGGGAAGGGAGGGGTGAGGGAGGCTGCTCTGGGAAATACGGGTCAGATCGATATCCCCGTTTGGCGACGAGGATGACCGATTTCAAAGCGGATTAGATTACTTTGTGGCATTTCGAATAAAACAGCAATTTCAGAGCCGTGAGCACCTGAGCGACCCCCGGGAGCCTGGCGGGCTCAGTGCGCGCCGGGCGCCTGGACCTGAGGCCTCGGCGGAGCAGGAATTTCTCCTCTGACCTTTTTCTTTTTAATCGAGGGCAAAGGAGCGACGGCGAGGGTGCAGACGGTGGCCTGCAGGGTCCGGGGGGAGGCGGCACGCAGGACGCTCGGGACTCCGGGGCAACCAGGTCGCCGGGTGCGGAGGTTCCGTGCGCCCCGCCCGGCGCCCCGGCCTCTGGCTGAGCGCTGCCGTTTACTGATTTGCTTTATTCTCCCGCCCAGGTTTAGGAGACGCGTGGGGACAGCCGAGCCGCGCCGGGCCCCTGGACAGCGTCGCCAAGGAGCTGGGATCACACTTGCTGCAGGTAGAGGCACCGCCAACGGCCCTGCGGGCGCCCGGGTGGACGCTCCCTTCCGACCCCGCCATCCCGGTCTCCAGACGTATCCGTAGGCCGCCCTCAGGCTGCAGCAGTCATCCCGAAATAATGCCCAGACCCCGAGCAAGAGGCCCCCCCACCCCCTGGGAGGGTCAGATCCGAGTATGGACTCAGCTCAACGAGTGCAGCCTCGGGCCAGCCCCAACCCCTACCCGGCACCTCGACGCCCCCACCCTGCAGACCCAGGACTCTCTAGCCCCCCCACCCCCACCCCCAGACCTAGGCAGAAGGGCGCCCCTGGGCGTGGTTAAGTCCTTTCCAACTTTACTTCCCTCAGCAAACTTTTATGGAGAGCTTCCTCCGTGCCAGACGCTGTGCCAGGCGCTGGAGCCAGAGAAAGAATGATCAGGACGCCTTGAGCTAGAGTGCCGCGGCTCTAAGGCGTCTGACAGTTGTGTGTGTCTGGAGGGAAATAAAGGAGTCACAGCATCACTAATAGAATATTAACAATTGGCATTTATTGAGAGTTTACCACGGGCCAGATTCTGTTCTAAATCTTACCATATCTCCTGGCTTCACCACCCACCTAGAGTGGACTTTATTTTTAGCTTCATTTTTTTTTTCAGAGGAGGAAGCTGAGGCACAGAGAGGTTAAGTAACGGGCCTGAGGTCACACAGCAAGTGGTGGAGCCGGGTTCAACCCAAGTGGTTCAGTTCTTGAGTGATCTAGCTCACGACATGGTGCGCCTCCGGGGTCACCTGGCTCAAGGAGGGAACTCTTGCTTGGTCTGTGGCCCGTCCCTTAGCGCCCCAGCCCGGGAGCCGTTCAGTCCACGGCTGCTAAACCGCCCCTGACCTCGGATTTCCCTCCACAGTGTTTGGGGCGCGGGCCGAGCAACCGTGCGCACGACTGGCCACTTCCAAGTTGGCGGCTGGCGCTAGGCGGGGACAGCAAAGCCTCGTGCCTCGGAATCTTTCAAATGCCCTTTACAGAGCCTCATCAATGACCCGATTCATTGCCCCCCTCCCGTCATTTGTCTCTGCCATCGAAAAATGCCTACCGAGAGCTACTTTGCATTTCCTCCTTCTATTTTGTGTTTTCTTTAAAAGAAAAAAAAAAGTTGGCCGCGGGACACTGTGACTTGGGTCGGCCAGTCGACCATGAGCTCCGCATTTCGAAAAAGCAGATCTTTTCAAAACTCTTTTGCCCCAAATGCCCCAGTGTGATTTATTTTTTAAAAAGGCGTGCGTTGGGGAAGAGAAGATCCGGGGGCATATTTGAAACCCGAAGCTTTACAACAGAAAGCGGACGGTGTGGGAGCCGGGCGGGTAATGGCGCTCTTGGAGTCGTTCCCGCGCGCCCCGCGCTCTCCTCCCACCCTCTCTTCCAGCTCCGCGCGCGGTATTTTGCATGTTTGACACTCTTACATATTATAAGTGACACTAATATCAGGGACAACTAAGTGCCTGGGAACTCCAGTGAAAACCTGGTGGGCAAAGTCAACACCCCCAAGTTTCTCCCACTGTGCATTTAATTAATTCCGGAGTGGTGTGTGGACGGCGTCTTTGCAGTTAATGTACATGCAAGCGCATTAGGTAATTTGAAGCTATGAAGGCATACCCAACATTTTCCGTTAAGGATATTATTTTTTTAGCTACTGCTGGCAACTTTCAGAATTTAATTATGATAATTTTTTCTCTTTTAACTCATATGGCTAGCTGTCAGATACTGTTTCATTAAATGTATCTCTTTAATGAGTTTGGAGTTCAGCAGGAATGCAAAATGTGCCCCAACGTTTATAACTTTAGAAATTGCTGTATCATTTGTATTTTTGAAACGGAGTTTAGTTGGGAAAATATTTTGTAGCTGAGTTAGAAACGTGAAAGTAAGGCTCATAATCAAGATGTTGATTTCAGCCTCAGCGGAGGGAAAGATAATAATTTAGTTGGCAAAGAATTTTTGCAGCAAAATTGTATTTGAGACAACAGAGTGTAAAGATATCTTTCAAGTTTCATTTCTACTACATTCTCCTTAGGCCCCCCTCCAAAAAGGGAGTGGATTTAGAAAAACCCAAAGGTAATCTGGTTTCAATTACATGCTGTAAAAATAGAATTTGTGGCCAGAAATTAATTTGGAATATTTTTTATGGGGGTAGCATTGTGGGTTGTATGGGTCTTTCACCAACTTTATTGCTTTTCTTTGGTTCTGGATCTAAAATATGAACGGGTAAATAAAATGCAGTTTCCTTTTTCAAAAAATAATTTAGTCTTTTTATCCTCACCACACATAAATAAAATCGTTACTTTTTTATTTGTCTTAATTACCTCTTATAATTTTACTTTATTTTTTTGAGGGCCAGCCAACCTAGGCAAAATCAGAATATCATGTAGATTGTTTTAATTTTTCAGAAATTGATACTTTTTCCCCGTGAATTTTGCAAAGGTTATTTGATCTCTTGCAAATTCTAAATAATTAATTCTGTAGCCATAGTCTCTTTAAATAACCAGGCATTTTCTTTTATTTTCTGGGGACTGGTAGTGTTCGGAATTTATTATTCAAATGGTACTTAGGGGTAACTAGCAAATTGTGGCAAATAAAGCTTATGTCCTAGTGGTACGAACGACAGCCAATTATGACATAAAATGGTCTATATAGCGGTAGATTTTCCCCTAAGAACCATAGAACTCCGGATTTGTGCTAAGTGCTAAAATAACCCCAAACAATAAAGCTACTACATTTAAACTGAGCATGGTAGGAATTCTCAAACGTTTTGCATGGTTTTTGTGATGTGGACGTAAGACTGGTTTTAAAGTGCTTTAAAAGCATTTGAGAACCTGGCCGGGAACGAAGCCTTGAGTGTCGTAACCTACAATCCTTCCCATGGCCCTGGGCTCCATTTCTGCTCTTAATAAATACACCTTGATGATAATGTTTTATACTTTCCTCCATCCCAGTGACGGTACACCCATCAGACCTGACTCTAATGTGTAACTATCATCGCTTACCCTGACACTTTTTCTTTTACAGACTTTGGACGGATTCGTTTTCGTGGTAGCATCTGATGGCAAAATCATGTATATATCAGAAACAGCTTCTGTACATTTAGGCTTGTCCCAGGTAAGGTATTGCCTAATTTTATGTACAACCAAAATATTAAATTAAGTGTTGGTGGATCTTGACAGTCTTACCCAACGTCTACTTTTGTGTATGCACATAATCCAAAATTGCCAAATCATCTTTTTAGGCTGTCCCATGGGGCTTCTCTTCTCTGTGTTATATTTCACTTTTTTAGTTTCTTTTTCCCTTGGGATTAATGACCAGGCTATCTTTGCAATGGTCAGCCTTGTTCTGAGATTCAGTCCCATCGCCTGGATTCTGCTTATACAGTAATGCTCTCTGCCACTAACAAGAGCTTCACAAAGGGAGATTTTTCAGTCCGCAGTTGATGGTCTGCATGTGGTATTGGGAGTTGCTGTGAAAGTAAGGGGCAAGCTGGTGCTGAACATGGATTTTATGCAGAATGTGCTTTGGGGAGAGAGAAAAGGGGGGTAGATTTATGACTGTTCACATGGAATTCAGGGTAATTTTTCCTGAGTTTTTCCAGTTCAGTGGTCGTTTCAGTAAAGCATTTTATATGCTTGTGATAGAAACTCATAAAACTCAGTTTACTACTGTTTTGCACAGCAAGGTCCTGGTTTCTTTAGAACATTTAAATATTACCGATTTTTCTGGAACCCCCTTCTAAAAAGGAGTTCATCCCTTAGAGGAAAGAGATGCACTCAGCTTTATCTGTCTCCATCAGGCTGAGGGTTTGGTGGAGAATTTAGCTGCTCTCTGGGCCCATTCGGATGGGGGGAGGGGTGGTCTAACTGTTGCCATTCACATTTCTGATTTAACAAGCGTGGATCCTAGTTCTAAAAGTCACATTTTTTATATACATAGGGACTAAATGTTTCTTTACATTGTGAATTATCAGAGTGCCTTTTTTCATCACAGCTGAAGACACACTAGAATTAATTAGATACAGGAAATGGGCTCCCAGGAGGCATGTGAAGAATCCATGTTACACTAGCCTCCTCCAGTAAAGCCAAAATAAAACAAGCCAATTAATGTGGCGCGGGTTTTCTCATTGAAAAACGAAATTACCGCTTTGGAAACCTGCATCTGACGTATTCCTTTTCTTTTTCTGCCAATACGTTTTTTAAAGTTGCCACTTGTTTACCACCTTCTCTTTCAATGTGTGTCCTTATTCATGTCCCAGTGGGTTTCTGTGCCTATGTGTTTCTTATGCAAAGTCCTTTAAAGTGAATCTCATATTAAAATTGTTTGGTGCTTTCTTTTTTCTTCCTTTTCTGTTTTTTTATGAAACCAGGTCTCCGAGATAAGAGTTACTAAAGTTTGGCTCTTACACCTACTTGATTCATGAGTGTACTGGCAGAACGGGAACATGACATTTACTGTTTTTATATTTTCCAAAGTTACTATTCTCTGAATTTCCACCTTGGCCTATTTAGAATTATTTAAGACCCTTTAGTTGTACCCAGCCTGGTTTCTACTCCTGACTTGATCTGTGGCTGAGTGACTTTGATCGGATTACTTAAGTTTTTCTATCCTAATTTATAAAGCCTTGATTACTTTTATAATAATGTCACAAACATTTATGACAAATGACATATTTGTCATTTGAAATGTTTTGTCATTATGACTGGTCAAATGTATTTTAAAATAGGTAAAGTCACTGTTATCATATATTAAATTTACATTTGAGCTCCCTAGCAGTCAAAGCAAAAAGGGAAATGCATTCAGTTATATGGTTTTCATTGTCTGATAGGGAATGGTACTTAACTTCTCTGAACCATTACTAAAATAATAATGTCTGCTCTACCCCTCTTTTAGGATCATGGTAAGAAACATATCAAAGTGCCCATTTTATGTGATTTATAAGCTATAGGGAGCTACACAACATCAGGCATCACCGCAGTTTCATTAGCATTGAACTTCAAATAGTGTTGGTTGGTGGGCACATATGAGGGCTATGTGGACATTTGGAATGTCCTGTCACCTCATAAGGGCCTGCGCACATACCAGACCATTCCAGTTCATTCAGTCAAGCTGCTTGAGCTAGCATCCTACATCTCTCAGTCATTTTTCTCTCTTTATGTGGGATATAAGAATGTTTATGAACATGATAATCAAAAGCGACCAAAATATTGGATGGGTGACAGATACGCCTCCTGTTCACCATTAACTCCACAGAAGGAAACCTAAGCAGAAGCACAATGAAAATTGCATCTCCTTTTGGTCATAATGCAGAAATAAAACTTTGTATCCTAATTGTGAAAGGGGAGGGAGTGATACACTACCATTTTTCAAGGAAGTTGTAGAGATGCCTTCTATCCATATGTTGCCGGGAGAAGTGTCAATTTACAAAAAGATAAGTCAAACTGGTGGTCTGTGTAGAGCGAGGGATTTTTTCCTGATCTCTTGGCGGGACTGCGCTGGCCTCAGTCTCCAGCTACAAAAACACTCTAATGCAGACGCAAGCCCTCGTTCGTGCCTGGGGAGTCTTCCGTGGGGAACTGTTTAAATAAGCAGCGACAGTCTTTCCCCTCAGATCTGCCTCCTGTTCACCATTAACTCCGCAGAAGGCAATCTAGGCAGAATCACAATGTGTATTTTTTTCTGTCTTCTTTACTTAAATAGTAAAATGAAGTATTGAATAGGATGTCAAATACTCAACTTCTCTTTTCTTAAAAAAAAAGATTTTTGCACCTTTTAGATTATTTTTATTGGTAGTAAAAAGTTAAGCAAATATATCAAACATGAAAACTTATTAAATCTTATTAAGCTTATTAAAATAAGCTTAAATTTTTTTTTAAATCACCAGAGATAAAAGTGTTAACAAAATTTTACCCAGTAGTCAGAATAACCCTTTAAACAGATTTTCTGATGAATAAAGATAGTAGAAATAGCTTATATTTACAAAGCACCCTTCATGTTCGAAGAACCTTCAATTACTCTCAATGACATTATCTCATTAAGTAACAGCAATCTTTTACATTAATTCAGGGTTAAACTCTATGTTAGCAGCTCCTAGGGAACATAAGCTCTTAGGTTTGCCATAATTGTGTGATAATTCACAGCAAAGTGGTGTTTTTTTTAAAAAAAAAAAATCTGCAACGTCTAAACAACTATCTGAATTATCTGAGAGTATAAAAATGATTCTTTGTGCGTTATGAGGTCATCCCAATTCAAGGACTTTTATTGAACTTTTTTTAAACAAGTGTGGGATTAAGAAATCTATTTCATATGGCAGATTTTATTAGTTTATTTTTGCTTTTAAATTAGTAAACACAGAGATCCTTGCTGTACCAAAGAGTGAGAGAGACAACCCCAAAATGCAAGCTGTCTGCTCAGCCCACGGGCTGAGTGTCAGGAACTAGGGCCCAGCTTCTGGCTTGAAAATTCTATTCGGTGTATGTGCACAGAAATAATACATAATAATTCATAGAGTCGAATTCATATCTATGTGGAAGAGCCAGACTGGGGAAGCGCTCTTCATCCATGTAAGTTATTAAATGACTTCGTTCCAGGGTTTTTTGGTTAATATAATTGACGGACATAGTCAAAGAAGGAAGAGCCCTGGGTATTTGCTCGGTATTTCTGCGAACATTTTTAAGGATCCTTGTGGTTTAAATTTCCTTACCAAAGTTGCATACATTATATAGCATCTAAGTAACTAGGATACATTTTCAAATAGATATAGATATGTATGAAATAGCTGTTTATGAGACACATGAAGGAAAATGTAATATTTGAGATTGCGGCTAGAAGCTCGGCCGTAAAAATAGCCATGGCGTTGTTCGGGGCCATAAGACCTAATCCTTTCACTTTTGAAATAAAGAGAAAGGACAGCGTTTTATGTTTGTTGACATAACTTGAACCCTGAAACCCAAACCATTTTATTTTTAAATGCTTAATTTACCATAGTCAGGAAAACACCCAGAGCAGAGTGACATGCGTTTTCTGCGTTCTGGGTCGCTTTCCCCTTATGGCGACCCAGAATGTATCCATTTAGTTCTGTATTTATCACATGTAGCTTTCTTGGCAGGAAGAAAAGCTATTCAGCGAAACATAAAAAAGCTCTTAGTAGGCAAGCAATTCATTTTGTAGTTAGCGGGGTTTTACAAATACTAAAATATCCCACGGAGGGTCTGTTTTAATAAGGTTGATGTATGAGATCTGGGGAGTTATATAACAACAACCATAATTTTTTTTTTTTTTTTTTGGTGAGGTAGCCACATTTCTTTCAACATTCAAAAGCACGAGTAGATATGTAAATACAGGAAACGCCATGTCAACCATAATTTTGAGTCAAGGTCAGCGCTGTTTTATCATTCCAAAATTTGTTCTTTAAAAACATTTCCGCTATTTGAAGACTGTTAGACTTCCTAGACAGCCTTAGAGTTTTATAGTTGACCTAAGTATTCAGAAAATCAAGACTTTTCATTCATGAACCTTCACCTTTCTCATTCTCCAAACACACGTGATAAGAACAGGATCTTGGAAAACACATGAAGCTACTTGGGGATTAAAACAAGAATAGAATCTCTGTAAGCACAAAAGGAAATCTTTCTGCAAGTATATGAAGATGCTTTCTAAAAGACAATTGCTTTTTTCTAAATAAGAACTTGGAGGTAATCAGAATTATCATTTTTCCCTAAAAAAGTGGGTAAAGGAGAAATGATAGGCCAACACACACAAACAATTTTGCTATTTTTTCATTTTAAAAATAAGCGTTGAAATTGTGAATCAATAAAAAAATATGCTCCATTATTTATTAGCCTCTGTCGCTCTCTACCTGACAGAGCTTCTCAAGGAATTTCTATCGTTCTCCTTGGGAAAAAGGAGATTGTCCTGTCCCAAATGGCTGACTTAAATGTTGCTGGTTTATTTAAACTTTTTTTTTTTTTTTTGGTGAGGAAGATTGTCCTTGAGCTGACATCTGTTGCCAATCTTCTTCTTTTTGCTTGAGGAAGACTGTTGCTGAGCTAACATCTGTGCCAATCTTCCTCTGTTTTGTATGTGGGATGCTGCTGCAGCATGGCTCAATGAGCAATGTGTATGTCGGTGCCCAGGATCCAAACCCATGAACCCCAGGCCGCCAAGCAGAACATGCCAACTCAACCACTTCGCCACCTGGCTGGTCCCTATTTAAACGTTTTAAGGATTAACAGGAATGACTTGAAGGAAGAATGTCTAGTTTTTATTCTTTATTTTTTAATGAAATCTTGTAATAACTTTATTCATAGGCAAATATCCATCTGGGTCATTAGGCAAGTGCCAGGTTTGGGAGGTGAGCGTTAAGTAGGGAGGTTGGAGGGTTTCTGGACCAGGATTCCCTCCATTGCTCTGTTTGCATAAGATTGGAAAGAAACGTTCCGTGAATAATGGGGAAAATAGAACTGTGAAAGGCGTTTTAGGGACAAGATTGCTTTGCAGGCCAGAAATATAATTTGGATAAATTCTGAATAAAGAGACAACTCGCACATCTTAACGAATTGGAAGAACTGGCTGGAGTGGGATAAATCACTTCATCTTTCGATGGCCCCTTGGTCCCAAGTAAAGAGCTGATGGCCTTGTTGCTCATTTGGCACGGTGGCTCCTGGGAGAATGTCATTAAACCGCCTGGCTGGGGTTGTCCTGCTGCGTGAGGTGGCACGGTCCTGGCTGCCCCTTGACAGAAGATCATGTGTCTCTGTTCTGAGTGAGAGCAACAGGCTTCCCGAAGAAGCAGGCGGTGCAACACACTTAAAAATACCGAGGGGGTGGTTGGGGACAAAGCTCTTGCAAGCCTGTCTTTGCGCCCTTAGCTCCTCTCCCCTTGGGGCAGGGCTAAGGAAGAGTTCTGCAGACCCACCCAAGGGTCTTTGCCATCCAGGGACAATTTCTCACACACCTTGAGTTTCTTCCCACACGGGGCTGTGGGGCTCCTACTGGCTGTGACAGAAGTACCATCACTGCCCTGGGGCCCCCTGATCAGGCGTGGGTGCGCTGACTCACTGTCTTCGTCTGCACTATTGTACCTCTGAAATAGGATCCACCCATCTCTGTTCAGAAGGCTGCTCTGATGGTGGTAGTTTCTGGAACATTCTATGCCACTGCCCATCTTGAGATGGGTGAGGAGGCTCAGGTCTTGAGAACCCCTGTCATCTCCTATCATGGCATTTGTGTTTGGGAGAACAGTAGGAAAGGTCTCCAGGTTAGGCACTGAGTCACCAGGGACCTCTGTGTGAAGGTCATACTGTGGTATTTCTCTAGAGCCCCCACCCCTGCAAAGCAGGGTCCTGTCCAACACAGACGTGACCTCTAGCCCTGCCATGGTGTCCTCCCTGGGGTGTGTCTGGTAGTAGGTGGTGTCTGAGTGTCAGTGTAGCAGCCTCAGGAAGTAACCCCATGTCACGTGGCTATCTGGAGTGGGCCCAAACCTTCCAGCAGGTCACGCAGCCACCCAGCCACACCTGTGGGCAGGAACCAGGGGTTAACACAGTCATCCAGGCCTAGGAAGGCCAGAGACACGTTCCTGGCAACGTGAAAGAGGCTGGGCAGGGCCTGAGGGGCACAGCTCAGAGCCGACGGAGAAAGGGCCTTTGTCGGGGTTCGAGTCCTTCTCAAGCTCAGTGGAGCCCCCGGGGGGTCCCGCCCCTCTGCCTCTGAGTAGACAAGGCTCTTGCAGGGAGAACGCTCTGGCCGTGGCCCTGGTCTCCTGGCTGGTCAGCCCCCTCAGGCAGCACTCAAGCACAGGCGAAGGGCAAAGGTCTGTTTTAAGCTGTTTGCCATATGAAGGATGCCGCCCAGGTCGTTAGGGTCACCCGCCTCCCTGGCACACCTTTTTCATCCTTCACTTTCCGGTTCCTCCTGCTCAGGACTCTTGGCTTTCAGCTGAAGCCTCTGCTCTCTGGCCTGGTTGGAAAGTGTGGGAGACAATTCAGGGTGCTGCTTGCAAAAAGACTAATGTTTCTGCCTGGGGAGAAGGTGTGGGTGTCAGCGGAGGTCAAAGTGCGGTCCCCGGCGGGTGCAGACCTGTGATACACACACCCTACACCTCCTTCCCCCCAGGTGGTCCTAGAGATTTCTGATCCTTCCCTTCCCTCTGCGGCAGGTGGAGCTCACGGGCAACAGCATTTATGAGTACATCCATCCTTCCGACCACGACGAGATGACGGCTGTCCTGGCGGCCCATCAGCCTCTTCACCATCACCTGCTCCAAGGTATTTCCTCCAGACGAAAAGAAACCAGGAGGAATACAAGATGATGCTGTTCAATGGGACCCCAGGGCTTTGCTTCCCATGCTGCCAAGGGGAGGTGCCACTGGGCTGCCCCGTCAGGCTTCTCCAGCAAACATGCAGCAGCCACCAAGAGGGACTTGCTTTTATGCCTCTGTCCTTTCCAGCAACGTTGTTGATCCCCATTCATGTTCCAGAGTCTGAGAGGTGCTGGAACCCAGAGAGGTGCTGGGTGGGAGATAAAGTCAAGGCTTCTCCCCTAATGTGCTCTGGCTTTAGAGTTCTAGCGACACAGATCTACACCTGGGCTTCTTAACCAACGAGTCGGAGGATAGAACTCAGGGGTGCATGAAATTCCATGGGGAAACTTACTTCTTTATTCTCTATAGTTGAAATTTAGCATTTCCTTGGCTTTTAGATTGTAGACAATAAGCCATCTTACTATCGCTAGTACCTGTGGCTTGGCCAACAACAAAAATCACAGACTTTTTTTTTTTTTTTTTACCACATTACGGTTGTTGCAAGTATTTAAACATATGGTTTATGCTCATTGCTATTTGGAAATTTCAGGAATTACAAGCCCCACTCCTGGATCTGGTGATTTAATATGTTACTAACGCAGCACCTTTATAACCATATCACCACCTGTTTTAATATTTCGATAACTATTTTCCAACAGAGTTGGTTCCATTTGTAATCTCATAGTTTTTATTTTATGCATTTAACAAGGCTCTTCTGAGTAGGGATCTGTAGGATTTGTGCCATGGCACGAATCGGTTAAGAAGCCCTGGTCTAGACAGAGGCAGGTCCCTCTCACTGGCCTGGCTCCATCTGGGGACAAGGTCCTCTTCCTGACAGTCCCATCACTGTCCCTACTGTGGCGTTAGGGCAGGTGTGGTGTGATTGTCAGTGGAGGATGTGGAACATATCATGACACAAATGACTCTTTAAATTGCAATTTCGATACACGCTGGGAAGACACAGAAGAACTTATTCCAGGAGCCCTGGCCGCCTTGTAACTCCCTCTGATAGTCCAATGAGACCAACCAGCATGTTGACCAACGGGTCTCTTGTCTGCTTTGAACTGTGGTATCCCAGCTTAGCCAAAGTTGCCCAGTGGGACAAAATGCAAGAGAAGGAACTTCAAGAGTGATGAGAGTGGGGTAGCCAGCCAGCGAGAAAATTGAGTTCCGCTCTTCCTGCGTCCTCACGGGAAAAGTCACTCTGAGGGCAGGGGAGCGAATACAGAATAGCACGCTCAGTTTTAAAACCCCTTGCAGACAGCTCTGCGGCCCCCATGTTCTAGCTCCAGGAATAGTCACTGTGAGTTTAATTGTTCCTTCCCAAGGAGAGAGACTGGCGTGTTGGTCTCTGAGATGACGTGGGAGTCTTAGTTATAGCTGAGGTCTGTGATTCTTAAGTCCTTGGAAGTGGTCTGGCTGCACAAAGGAGGATGAATAAGACGCTGAAGAAGTAACGTCTAACAAAATGAGGGCCAGGAGTAAACGCTGCGCCTGGATCTGCTTCTTTCACAATGGGGTTGTTTAAACCTGGGCAAAGACAGCGGGAGTCTTGGAGAATTCCTCGGAACGTTGTGTCGTTATTGTTTTAAAAAATTGCAGTGTGTTAATTGCATGGGACTGTGTTTTCTCCCATGAGCTCTGGGTTTCATTTTATCCTTCCACGTCATAGCCTTGAAAAAAGTGTTTAGAAAATGACAGCAAGTGAATCTTGGGAATAGCATGAGATGCCCCTACCCCCAGTTTCCATGGGGTTCGATGGAGGCTGCGGTGTAGCGACAGTAGAAGAGGAGAAGTAGAAAGAGCTAGGAGGGTTGGGGTTGCCCACTGAGTAATGTCCACAGCCAGCCGAGCGTGCAGGGTTTCAGGGTCCCAAGCCCCCGGTTTTTTCCCCAATCTCTCCTCTGCAGAGTTGGTTTCTGTGCCTGAACTGACCCATTGTTTTATGATAACTGTATGAGAAACGGGCTCTCCCCAAAACTGGATAATTACCGGGTGATGTTTTTTAGAGCTGAGCGTGGCTTATTTGAAAATGGTACAGATAGGTGGCCATGTTAACTGGAAGCCTTATGCCCCACAAACCCCAGCCTGCTGCAGAGGAATTGTGGGTAAACATGGCAGCCTCTCCAGCTGGGGGAAACAGGGGGCATCCTAAGCGAGTCCCTGGCTTCCATCGGGTAGTGCCCTTGGGGAGGGGCGGAATGCCTCGCTTCCATTCCTAGTGGGAACCTTCCTTTAAAAATTAATTTATTAACCACCATCAAATGGCTGTTTATTTAGAGTGGAGTGACCTCGCCCTCACCCAGGGGTGAGGACATTTCGCCATTCCTGCCTTGAAGAGCTGGCGTCCCCTCATTGAAGATGGTGTTTCCTTAGGGGACTCATTTGTGAGAAGAGAGAGTGGGGAGGGTAAGAGCCCCAGAGAGAGGAGGGGGTGGTCCATCCAGGACTGTCAATGAGGGTGAAAGCTTTGATCTGGCCAAGCGAGTCAGTTGGATCTGGCCCCCATGCCGCATTGCTGGGCAGTCTCGGTGCCCACGGGCACAGGTGGCAGGAGATGCCCTGGGGCTGGCTCCCTCTGCTGGGGAAAGGGACTGCCCTTGTGACTTTTACTCAGAATCTGCTGCCCTGAGGGAAGTCAGATGCTTCTGGGCCTTCCTGGCAGGCTTGGGCACCTGCCCCAGGGCTGGCCAAGGCGATTCTCCTGGCACCAGGCCTCTCTGTGGCCGCCACGAGGGGACCAGTGCAAGAGGAGCCAGGCTGGGCCCACTGCACGTACAGTCCTCACCTTGGCCCCAGGTTGGCGTGTCCCAAGTTCTTGCTATGGCCGGGTTCCCAGCTGCTTTCCTCTGAAGCACACAGAAGCCAGGGCAGGAGCGGGCCAATCTCCCAGCCCCACCCAGGTCCTGGCCACTGGCGGAAGCCGTCTGCGTCAGGTCTGGGCACACTGGGACGAGCCCCCTGGTGGCCGGATCTGGTCCTCAGGGTTTATGGATATTGTTGGGCTAAGGACGGGAAACATCGTGGGGCAGTTTGCCAATCTAACCTCATTCTGCTTTCAGAGTATGAGATAGAGAGGTCATTCTTTCTTCGAATGAAGTGTGTCTTGGCAAAAAGAAACGCGGGCCTCACGTGCAGCGGATACAAGGTACGAGGAGCCTCGGGTGGGCGGGAGGGAGGGGGCGTGGCAGGTCTTCACTGTGTTTGGTATCTTGCTCCACACTCAGGAACGTCTGAGGACCAGGACCTAAACATTTCACGCTGCCTAATGTAGCTGGTGTAGAACTTTCTATTAACGCTGCTCCCGGCTGCTCGCAAGGCAAGTGCGAGAGCTGGTGTTTTACAAGGCTGTGCCAGGCGGACAGGATTTCATCGTAGATCAGGAATAAATCTCCTCGGCACCTTCAGGTTCTACACCAGTCCGTCCCGCTGGAGCAGCCGCCCCTAGGGTTTACTGAGAATCCGCATTCCAGGGCAGCATCCTGGGGTCAGCAGTGAGTAGTCGGAGCACAGAAATGTCGCTCTTGCCCTTGGAATGTTGGCCAAATCCAGTGATGATGATGGTGCATGTGACCATGCTGAGTGCATCTGCAGCCTCTCGGCTAATCTAATCAATAGTCACAGCAGCCCCCTGAGGGGAGGATCATGGCCTCCTTCTTAATCAGACACGAGCTGAGAAGAAGGCCCAGCGGAAGGGCGCCCAGGCCAATGGGGCGGTGCTGGGCCTCGGAGCCAGCCCTCGCTCCTCCTGGCAGCACTTCTCTGCCAGACGTGCCGCTTGCTCTGGCTAACTCCAGACTCTAGGAGTAGGTCACCCAAGGAGCCGCGGGGCAACGCTGCGCTCAGCCTGGGAGTCAGCCTCTGCAGATGCAAGGGCAGGTTGGGGGCAGTCCGCGCTGAGCACCCCCTTCTCTGGAGTTCCTCGCCTTCCTCCCAGGAGTCTGCAATTGCTGTTCCTCCTGCCTCAGAGGAAAGAGGGCATAAGCTCATCACTGTGGAGCTGGAGGCGGACGGGAGCCCTTTTGCAGGAGTATTTGCATGTTAGAAAGGGAGGGAGAGGAGTGTGAAGAGAGAGAGGACAGTTTTGTGCCTTTGTCCTCTCTTTCTGGAATGCCCCTCCGCATCTCTGTCCCATCTCAGAGTCCACCTTCCTTCAGCCCCTCCCCACCTCCTTCCCATCCCAGGGGTGCCTTCCCTCAGTCTCTCCTCAGTCCCCTCCTTTGAGCCCCACTCTGAGCTCTTCCTCTTGATTTTTACTTCACTCTGTTTCACAGTTTGGGGGCTACCTTTCCTGTTTGCTGTCCGAGACTCTGAGCCTCTTAGGGACAGGGCTGGGGAAGCCAGCATCGTCGTGCACGCAGTACACATTCTTCAGGAGACTTGGGCCTTCAGTTATTGACTACGTGTCTAATCTTAAGCAGAACACATCAGCTATCTTGTCCTCGGTTTCCTCATCAGTAAAATGGGACAATAGACTAGAAGGATTTTAAGATTGGTCCCAGCGCTAAAGACTGTGAAAACCTTCAGAAATCCTGGAAGAAAGTTTTTGAAAAGAGGATTTAAGATTTTGGCTGTTCATCACAGCTGTTATAAAAGACCACGATCCTTCGAAGAGTTTACTGACTATAACTTGTATAAACGTTTCAGATATTGAGGCTTAGGCTGTACAACGCTTTCTCTTTGACATTTGGAACACTATCCACGCTCTGCTCTGTGGCTGTTGGCTAGGACAATTAGAAGTGTTTCTATGGAGCAACTCTGGCTTATTGCTTATTACGAGGGCATAAAATCTTGAACTGTAAATAAACTAAAATTAAAATACATTAAAGATGAAGACTTTTATTTGATTCAATTGACAGAATTCTTACTTTTACTAGCGTGATATAGCTTGTCAAGTGATATAAAGGTCAAGTTAACAGATGTCAAATTTAATCTCGTTGGAAGATAATAGGCATTATAGTTACTGAAGTGAGTGTTAGGGAACAACGGTGAGCTCCCCAAAATGCCTTTGCTGTGCCAACTAATCACAGCTTGGCCATGAGTTAAATAAGTATCAGTCCGTTCTATATTAGAGAGCCGTAACTTGTGGAGTTACTGGAGTATAGTCAGTTGGGTATGACAACCTTTATATTTTATTATGATATTGTTTTCTAAGAAAGAAACACAGCTTCATTTCTTCGGAGCAGTGAATAAGGCGTTTGGGCACACAGCTCGGCGGGGCCTGGGCTGGGGGATATTCCAGTGCGTTCAAGCCAACCAGCAGGCGCAGAGCCGGGAGGAGCGCGTGGCAGCCTGACCCCTACATCGCTGGCGGCTGACCCTGCCCTCTGCTTTCCCAGGTCATCCACTGCAGCGGGTACTTGAAGATCAGGCAGTATATGCTGGACATGTCCCTGTACGACTCGTGCTACCAGATCGTGGGGCTGGTGGCCGTGGGCCAGTCGCTGCCGCCCAGCGCCATCACAGAGATCAAGCTGCACAGTAACATGTTCATGTTCAGGGCCAGCCTCGACCTGAAGCTGATATTCCTGGATTCCAGGTGAGTTTGGCACCCACAGCTGCTGCGGAGTTCCAGAAGATACCCATGGTGGAAACTGGCCTCTGAAACGACACGATTAAGGCAAAATGTAACAATGAACGAGTTGTCCTAAGGATGTGAATTAGAAAGGGATTTAGTGAAACCACGTCATGAAGTGAAAGAATTAATATCAGCCTTAGTGCCTAGGGAGTAGGCAGCTTCTCCAGCTTACAAGTGTTTGTTTATTTATTTGTATTTTCATCATCTCACTGGAGGGTGAGCTGGAAATGTGTTGGGAGCACAGGTTAGTTTTTTCCTCTTGTGAAAGCTCACAGTGTCAGGATTCTGCCTCGTATCTCCATCAAGCTGGTGGGACTTTAAAACACACAGAAGGTTTCCACACTGAGGAGTGTCTGTGGTGGGGAGAAGTTTGAGCTGTGACAGCCACCGCAGGGCTGAGGCTGGAGCAGAGAGGTGGCCTTTCCCGGGGGAAGCTGTGATCACAGGCTCAGCAGGCACCCTGTCTGGGTCTGGGCTGGGAGGGCGAGGCAGCAGTGTCCCCAGAACTACCTCTCCCAGCTGTCCTTTCCTCTCCTACTTGGGAATTCACGCCAACGTGAGAATCTCCAGAGAGAGAGAAGGGAGACGGAATAAGGCAGAACCGCTGATTGCTTGTTGCGCAGGCCTAGGGAGAAGAAGTCTGTACTGGGGCCGTCTGGCCCGTCCCCAGGGCAGGCCCCACCCACTCCGCTACCACAGGTCTGCTAGGAAAGATGACATCAGATCAGAGACGTGAAGCATTTGCAAAGGTAAAAAGCCTGATATGCCTGCAGCGTGAGTCACTTTGCCTCCTGGCTCCTTCCTCAGCTGTACAGACAAGAATAAGCTTTCAGAGCCCCCACTCCTGACTTTTGGTGTGTGTGGTCAGGCTTTCTTGGAGAAAGGATATATATATGTATATATATTTGTTTTCTGGATGTCCTGAAGCTAGGATTTATTGATTCTTTTTTTTCCCTCACTTTTTCATTGTGGTAAAATATACATAACATAAAATTGATCATTTTAACTATTTATTGAAGAAAACCAAATCCTCCTGGTTAGGAGTGGGAGGTGAGGACACGAATTAGTCTAGTTCATCGTTCATGGACCTCAGAACCATCCAAAGGTGGAGAATTGACAAGGGTTGGCATTACAGAGTTGCCACTATGCTCCCAGAAACTCCAAGCAATGAGTACATGTATCTCTTTGGGGGAAAGATGGCAGCTCCTCTTGGGATGGCCAAACGCTGACGAGTGCCATTCTCCTGCAGCGAAGATGGGGGCACCTGCAGGGAGAGGAGCCTGGGGCTGGCCAGCTGCCCCGAAGCCTGGGGGTGTGCAAGAAGTACCAGCTCGCGGTGAAAGAGGAGTTCTTTCCAGATTCACGAGCCACTTCTAAAAGTCGATGGAAAGAAAACCCAGCTGCCCAAGTTCATTATTGTAGAAATTTAGGAGGCTACGACTGGCTTCTCCCTTGTTTTGTCTCCTGGTTTTTCTTTGCCGTTCTGGCAAAAATCCCTAAGACCTGGTGAATTCTTGAGAGGAGGAAAGAGGGGCTCTCCTCAGAGAGAGATTTCAGGTCTTCTCAAGTTGTTCCATGCACACTGCTTTGACACGCGAGGGACAGAGGGCGGGCGTTACAGAAGAGGATGTATGAAGTTAGATCAGGGGCCACGTTGCTCCCGGAGGGAGCCTCAGACGTGGGCTTTCTTGAATGCCAACGTTTCTCTACTTCAGGGTGTGAGAGCCGTACCCCTGATGTGAGTAGAAAAGAAAGACGGCGATCTTGAGGAAGACTTCCTGTCTTCACAGAAGACTCTGCAGTTCTTCCTGCTAAGTGCCAGAGAGAAGCTTCTAGAAAAGCCTTGAGGCTTTTTCTGAACTCCAGTCATGGAGGAGGTGCTCAAGGGGGTCAGAAATGCTCTGGAGAATTCTTCACACTCACTCTGGTCTTTGGTCTGTTACAGCTCAATGGTCTTTGAAAGGTCACCAGGGGGAAGGGCGGGGGGACAGAGGGGCTGGCCCAGTCCTTGGAGGTCAGCAGAATGGCCCAATGGGGTGGGAGATGTCAGCTCCTACATCTGAACCCCAGGAGCCACCGCGAGGGGTTGGCCTGAAGCCTGGCAGCCCCAAAGTCACGGGGCCAGGATGGTGGGCCTCACCCCATCGGGCCCTCAGACCTCAGCGGAATCCCAGACTCCGCTGAACTCGGCATAACCTGATGTTTGGTTCATGGGGGTTTTGTGGTATTTCACTTTGAAACCGTAGCTGGTGCTTTTGCTAAGGATGGGTGAACCGAGAGATGTTTGGGGTTTGGCAAATCCCTCTGACAGGTCTTCAGACAGTAGAGGGTTGGAAAAAATGGGGAGGGCGTGCTGCCAAACCCTTCCCTTCCCCTTTAATTTTTAAAGCCAGTGTGTACTTTGATGAGAAACTTAATACATGTGTTTCTGATTCATTTACACGTTCGGGGCTGTTGTTCTGTAACTTTCCCTCCAAAGGGTCTGGGAAGTCTCTTTCATCCCCACACCGTAGAGATGCCTGGTTTTCTTTTGGGGGGAAGCCAGACGTCTCAGTTTTCCTGCCACACAGAGTCAGACTCCGATGGGGCCCGAAGCCCTAGGTGGCCCTTAGACCAGTCCCCTGAGCCCTGAAAGGCTCTGGCCTGTGCAAGTTCACTTTCCACCCACCTCGAGCCCCGTCTCCTTCCTGCCCTGGAGGAACACCATGGAAATGTGTACACCAAATAGTGACCGATTCCAGGGAAATATGAGGCTCTCAGAGATTTACGACCCGAAGCCCGCGCAGAACTCAACAGAAAGGAGAGCGGGTTAAGGAATGAAAGCGCGGTCAAGTTTCCCCTTTTAATTTACAGCTAACGTTTCAGATCTGGGCCAGCAGGGACCCCGGTCCGGCCGTCCTCAGTCCCCACCCCTCGCCCCCCAGCACTGACTTCTCACCATAGCCTCACCTCTTTTGGAATCCTTTCTTGTCCCCCTCTTTCATCTGCTCTTGAACATCTGTCACCAAGATGTTTGGGCCACCTCGGCCGAGGGCATGGTTCCCACTGCCGTTGCCCAAGGCCTGGGAACTGATACCATTGCCACATGCAATTTTCACCTACGGACGGAGTGATCCAAATGCTGGTGATGATGTGGTCTTGGGTGTTGAGATTCACTTTTCTTCAAAGAGCTGAAGTGGGAAATTAATATGCCCGGGGCTTGATGAGAATAAAGAGCGGGTAAAGTCAGATAAGCAGTGGGAACCTGCTTCCATTTCCATAAAAAGCTGAAGGCTTACTTTCTAGTCACAATATTTTGGGGTGTTATTATACTATTGTCTGGGGGCTCGAAAACAATCCTCTGCTGATAGGAGGCTTAAACATCGCAGTTATTCCATAATTCCCATCAGTAGGAGTTGCCCAACCATAGCATCATCCCGAGACCAGCTCTGCCTGTTGACAGTGTCCATTGTGGAATGGAGATTTCAAGTCTCAAACACTCAGTAGCCAGGATGTGGAAACAACCGCGTGTCCATCATCAGACAGAATGGATAAACAGGCTGTGCTATCTACATAAAGTAGAATATTATTCAGCCGTAAGAAGGAATGAAGTTCTGACACGTGCTACAACATGGGTGAACTTTGAAGACATTATCCTGAGTGAAAGAAGCCGGACCCAAAGCGACGAATATTGTAGGATTCCACTTAGATGGGATATCTAGAATAGACAAATTCATAGAGACAGAAAGGAGAATGGTGCTTGCCAGGGGTGGGAGGGAGGGGAAGTGGGGCTATTGTTTAACAGGGACTGAGTTTCTGTTCCAGATGTTGAAAAAGTTCTGGAAATGGAAGTGGTGATGGCTGCACAGCATTGTGAATGTAGTTAATTCCATGGAATTGGATGCTTAAAAATGGTTAAAATGGTAAAATTTATGTTATGCGTATTTTACCACAATAATTTAAAAAAGATTGCCACAAGACTTTGGGTTCCCCCAAAACCCCCCGAGAATGGGTTCTTTCTCACCGTGGCAGCCTTCCCCCACATATCAAAGTGCGCTCTTAAGCATCCTCAGATAAGCTTCACCTTGAAAAGGGATAAAATTTGCAGCCATCCCAAACACTCTTCTAGCCAGTGGTTTCAAAAGAACCTTCCTGCCCGTGCATAGCGCTACATCCTGCGCTGCACCAAAGTTCAAAGACTTTCTTCTTGTAAAAAAGATCATTCTCAGTTTCCAAAATCAACATGGATTTAAAAGCCTTTTAAAAAAGGCAGCCCCCAGCCTTTTAGCTCTTCATTAGCTGGCAAGACCAATATTAGTTTAAATGAAAGGCAATCGGCAGAGCAGTGTGACTCACGGGGCCACCATCCTCTCTCAGGGTGACCGAGCTGACCGGGTATGAGCCGCAGGATCTGATCGAAAAGACCCTCTACCATCACGTCCACGGCTGCGACGTGTTCCACCTCCGCTATGCGCACCACCTCCGTGAGTACCGCGCTCCCCGGGGGGGTGGGCCGTGGCTGGCCAGGGGGGAGGCGACTAGGACTGACTGGGCAGAGCGTCCTTTGTTTGGGACAATAATCAGCCACTGTGTACACACGAGTCTCTAACCTCAAGCCTGACTCAGTCTACCCCTTGCTCGAGCACAGCTATTTGCTGTCAGTTTTCAAACATTCAAGCTCACGCTCCCAATGAAACTCTGGCAGGTGCGGGATGGTGCAGAAGTTTCTGGATTCTAGATTGTGGATTTGGAAACTAAATTTCTCTCTGACATCTGGACACCAGTTGTGAATAACGGTGACAGCAGTAGAAGAACCGAGACTTACAGAGCCCTTACTATGGCCAGGCACTAGTTTAAGTGATCGAATATATTACGAAGCCAGTGAGGGAGATTCTCATGTTCATGTTCCTCCTTTTGCTGTTGAGGATGCTGAGGTTCAGAGAGGTTAAGCCACTTGCCCATGGTCACACAGCGAGGAGGCAGCAGAGCTGGGAGCCGAACCCAAGAAGCGTCCGGCCTCCGACCACTGTCCGCCATCTGGCTGGGGAAGCTCAGGGGAAATCACGGGTTCCCAGGTTGGGAGAAGTCAGTGTGGAAAGAGTGAACAAACAGTATTCAATTTGCCAACAGAGGAAATTTGGGGAGCATGTGGATTGGGGGGGTTCCAGTCACTGAAGTGTTTAAAGAAGTCACACTTTTCTTCTAGAATCCAAATCGAGGCAGTGAATAATTTGCATGGCGTGGAATAGCTCATCCTCCCGCCATCCAGCCCAGCGATGCCCATGGCTGGTCCAGGTGCTTGTTAATGGGGTGCAGATGGCGGGAGGAGCCAGATCCTCTGCAACGTGGCCCAGATGGCATGTCCTCTGTTCTTGCCCTGCTTTGTGTTGACTAAGGGGTGTTGGAGGACACGGTGCTGGTGTCGAGCTGGAGGTGGACAGCGGTTCCAGGGGCCGCTCGATCCTTGGCCACGTTGTCTGCCTGGCCGTTCAGTGTCCACTGGGACCCAGCGAGCACGGCAGTTACTAGGACACAGCTGTTCTGTCCTCCTGAGTCACCAGGGGCAGAGACCCGTGACAACCAGGACATTGGCTGGGCGGACGCAGACGGCTTCTTCCTGCTCCCTTTTAATTCAAACAGTGTGAAAAGGTCTCTGTGCATGGAGAGACTCAAGAGTTGTCACAGCCTTTTTATTTCTTTTTGTGAAGATAGCCAAGTCGTGATCTCATATAAACATTCCTGTCCTTCTCGAAACCAAGCTCAGTAGGGGAGCAACTGCCTGGTGTTTGGATGGGAGCTGCAGGTCAGCATCACTGATCCGGGAGCTAGAACTCTTTCGTGCACAAACAGAGCAGAAAGTGTCGATTTTAGACTTAGATCTTTGGGAGACTGCAATGGGCAGGTGAGAAGAGGGGAGCGTGTGCTCTGAAGTCAGGAGAGTGGTTGGGAGGTGGGAGGGGCATCTGCTTCCAGAGCATGGAGCAGCAGCGTGCACCACAGAACAGTCTGGAAGGGAAGACGGTGGGAATGGAGAGCAATGTGAGGATTCATACCTTCCCCCTCCCAGAGGTCGGCTCCCTGCCACTGTCGGGTGGAGAGGGCTGCTCTGAGAGCCCCAGGTCTGGGGGTTCCCAGCCCCCTTGCGTGGAGGCAGGAGCATGTCTGGGAGCTTCTAGTTGAAAGGAAACCTCCGAATTCCATGAAGGGAGAGTTGTTCAAAGCAGGGCTGCTGTGTGGGAAATCAGGCCTCAAAGCGCAGAGAAAAACAAAGTAGGGAATTAAAAGTCTTCGTTTCCGGTCCCATTTCTTTTCTCTCGCACTGCCTGGCTAACAGAGGGGAGCAGGGATTTTTTAAGAGGCAGTATATACAATTTGTGTTTTGGAAACGTAATGAAGGCCACAGCGATGACCAGTCGGAGGCTCCTGTGCCCCGACACGGACCGGATGCTTTTCGTGTGTCCACTCTGACCGTTTGTCAGTGCGGGAGCGGGGCTGTTCTCGCGTCCATTTCCCAGGTGAGCAAAGCCAGACTCCGAAGTGGAGGGACGTGTCGGGGGACATGATGGGTCTTAAACTTGGAGATGTGGGCTGGTCTTTGTTCCCCAGGAGCCCCCATCTTCCTGAGCTTGTCTGGGTTACCAGACCTGCACGGGGATTTGATTCGAGAGGGTCTCCTGAGATTTATATGATAAATCTGCCTTATCTCACTCGGAATTTGGATTCCAGACATTTCCAATGTCCGAGGGAACCCTGAAAGGTGTACACAGCCTTCCAAGGGACACACAGAAAGGGCGGAGTGTTTAGAAACCAGAGGGAGCACGGCTTTCTTCCCCAAATGGGCAAGAATGGGTAAATCAAAGAAAACAGAAAATAGCAGTATGATATTGACAGTGATTGCTACTGTGCAGTGACCTAACCTTAACTGTGGTTGAGAAACCACCACAGGGACAGGCTGGAGGAGGCCGGAGTCTGCCCCAGTCTCCCTGCTCCAGCTTTTCCAGATATAAACCAGAGAGTGACAGCAAGAAACAGCTGAGGCTTGGGGCCGGCCCGATGGCGTAGTGGTTAAGTTCAGGTGCTCCACTTTAGCAGTCCAGGGTTTGCAGGTTCAGATCGCCGGCGTAGACCTAGCTCGCTCATCAAACCACGCTGTGGCAGCATCCCACATAAAGCAGAGAAAGACTGGCACAGACGTTAGCTCAGCAAGAATCTTCCTCAAGCAAAGAGAGGAAGATTGGCAACAGATGTTAGCTCAGGGCCAATCTTCCTCACCAAAAAAAGAAAGAAAGAAAGAAACAGCCGAGACTCTTATGCATGCAGAGGGCTGGGAATTGGTCTCCCAGAGCTCATGCCTTCAGACGTCCCCCTCAGGGCAGCCATGACATTGACCTGGATGTCACTTTCTCCTCCAAAGCTGGACCTTTCAGATGAAGAAAAGGAAGCTAGTCAACCACCAGAGCATGGTTTGGGGAGGCGGGGTCTTCATGGTGTAGAGCTGGGGCAATTTTGAAACCTCTTCATTGTGTGGTGCCTGGGGCCTCACTCTCCTTCCCGGTCACAGAACTGGGGCCAGAGGGGACAGCTCCAGAAACTGACCCTGAGCCTGCAGTTCAAGTGCAAGAGTTTATTTGGACAGTGACTGAAACACGGATAGAGGAGAGAGAAGTGAGCCACAGAAGAGAAGGAGCCATAGGAGCGATGTTGTCTGCCTGGCTACTGCCGTGGGTGACGGACCCTCGATCCCCCTGGGGACTCTGGGAGCCAGTGCGGGACCCCTGCCTCAGTTATGGCGCCGAGGGGAGAGTGGGCTGAGGCAGTTATACACCCCGCCTGCCAGTCATCAGCTGAGGGCTCTCTCGGAGTGCTAATTCCTCTGCTTGCCCCACATCTGTCAGAATGGGCTCTGCTGAAGAAAGGCCTCTGGCGGGAGATGGGTGCACTCCATGGGGTTGGGGGGGCTGCGCAGTGAGGAGTCACTGGCCAGAGCGAAGCCCCACCTCTCCGCAGCCTCTCCTCAGCTTCCTCCCTTCCTGGCTGCATGAAGGCCTTCTCCAGCCAGGCCTCCCTCCGCAAGCTGCTCCTTGCTCCCAGCCCGGTCTGTCGTCTTTTCCTTGCAAACATGGGTCACTTCTCTCTGGTGGGCCCTGTCACCCTCACTGCCCAGGGTCCCTGTTGGCCGGCCAGAGTGTCCTCCACACCCAAGTTCCTGCCCTGTGCCCTCTGGGGACTGAGGAAAGCCGATCCCCCATGCTCTCCAGATCTGTTTCCACTCCCGGCTTGATGCCCACGGCCGCCACCTCTCCTCAGGGTGGAGCTGTGTCCAGCTCGGCCCCTCCCAGCCCTATCCGGGGACTTAAGTTCTTGTTTCTGGATGCTGCTCCCCCTCATGCTGTCCACACAGATCCTCACGGGGGCCTCCCTAGTCCTCTTGGGCTGCCATGATAAAGCACCACAGACCGGGCGGCTTATACAGCAGAAATTTGTTCTCCCACGGTTCTGGGCGCTGGAAGTCTTGAGATCAAGGTGTTGGCAGGGCTGGTTTCTTCTGCGGCCTCCCTCCTTGGCTTGTGGGTGGCCGTCTTCCGGCTGTGTCCTCCCGTGGTCCTCCCTCTGTGCATGTCTGGGTCCTAACCTGGGATTAGGGCCCGCCCATATGACTTCATTTTACCTTAATTACCCCTATAAAGGCCCTGTCTCCAGATACAGTCACATTCTGAGGTACTGGGGGTTAGGACTCCAGCATAAGAATTTTGGGGGGACACAATTCAGCCCCTAACAGGGACTTTCTTTTCCTATGCCTGCGTCCTTGCCCAGGTAATGGGCACAGGCCCTCTCCCGAGTTTCAGTTGGATAGGCTGGCTCGGGCAGCACAGGTGACCAGTCTGCGAAGGCCAGATGTGTCATTTTGAAATGTGACTTTTCAGTCCTGTCATGTAGTGCTTTGGTGACCAATGGCTCAGGGACATGGCCCCAGGGAGGGCCGTGGGACCGGGGCTTCCTCTTCCAGCCTCCTGCCCTCCAGGCTCCACACGGATCCCACACTGGCCGCTGCTGACCTGGGACTCAAGTCCTTCAATCCGATCACAGCTGGAGCTGGCCCAGGGGTTGTCCCAGGGGTGCCGGCCCACTGGGCAGCCTTTGCTGCCTCCCTTCCATCCACCACAGCTGGATGTGGCTGGAAGTGGCCAGCGGCTCTGTTGACCCACCCATCTGGGCCCCTCAGGACTCCAAGGCCGGCGGGGGAGCCTGGCCTCCTCTTATAGCGAGACGTAGAGACGCATCTGTCTCTGCAGTTGATGGGGTAGCTGAGCACAGGAACAAAGCAAACGGTGGCCAACACCCCGGACCAAAGGGAGGTCACTGTCCCCTTTTCCAAGGCCAAGCTCGCTCCACACTATGTCCAAAACCAAGGAATCCCTGGGGACGGGGTGCAGGGCTCTGCCAGAGGCCTAATTGGATGCAAGAAAGCGGTGGTTCTGGAGAA